CGGCCAGCATCTCGCAAGGCTCCGTGCCTCTTTGGCTATATGTGTGTGTAAGACCCATTCATGGTAGCATAAGCTGAGCTCCGTCTAGATTTTCCAGTGTGACCACACGACTCTCTCTAAACAGCAAAGATCAGAATAACGATCCATGAACGAAACACTGGACTCACCTCCTGCAGCTGACTGTACAACTCAAACGACAAGTTAAGACAGATATCGCCCAGAGACACCGCCCTCGAAAGACTTTCTCTATTTTTCTTATCAATAAGCTGATACATAACAGTCCTCATCGCTTGTATGCTGTAAACATACGAGTGAGATAGCTGTGCATTACTTAGAAAAAGCCATACGAACTCACCGGCTAAGCTGTGCCACATCGCTCTCGTTGTCGTACCGCATCAGCGCAGTACACTGTCGCAGCACCTCACTAGTCTGGTGATACCACGTCTGAACCATCTCCCGAGTGCCCATCGGACAATCAGAAGCATACTCCACAGAAGCGCCATGATACACAAACTTCTGGATAATCGTGATCGACATGACAGGCGATGAGCTTGGGGAAAGAACTGAGGGTTGTTGAAGTTGACTGGAGATTAACCGGCCGAGCGCGCATCTTATATCTTCCTCAGCAGAAATAGCTCCAGAAGCGAAAACAATCAGGTTCCAAGGGGCACAGCGTAGCAGGGAATCATGCCCACAAAAGTGGGTTTGGTAATTCTTGTAACTTACGGACCGTTCTTCTAGTTAGGCACCATAGAGATGGATGCGTGCCCAGACAGTCGAAGCATCTACCGCTTGTGCCGCTCTGTTGTCCTTGTTCTGAAACAATACTATGTATGTCGTGTTTCTATGGCAGCGCGTGAATAGGCGGGCCACGTCGGCGGGCTTGTTGTTTCGTCGTTGTGAAACGTGTTATGATTAGTGAAGCGATGTTGAAGACAAAAACGGAGTCGGGTTGAGCTCGGCCCCAAAATACTTCCATCAGCGAATGGATGATTCCTTAGCCGTGAGAAAGTACTACAGTAGAATGCAAGTTTGCTCCTCCTAAATAATGTCATTTATACAGCGAGAATTTTTGGTTGGGAATACATGACCATTGATGCCTGTACATCCAGAACAACACGACAGTCCACACAAATGTTGCTGCTTTCCTCTATTGCAGCAGATGAATGGTTTACGTACACGAAGAAGGTGTTCTTCTAGTACATGTTAATAACAAATAATGTAGTTTCGACACATCCGCCGATACAGAATTAACGAGACACTGGGATATTAGTCGCCCAAGAATCCAAGCGGAATGCGACGTCCTGTCATCGAAAAGAGGACGGCCGGGAGATCACAAAGGTTCGGGGATCGATAGTGACAACATAGGGATCGGACAAAGCGGCTTCATCAGCTGCAGCTGTTCTTGCTCCATAACCTTTCTCTAGACAGAAGAAGGGTGATCAGTGTCCTAAAATTCTACGGGATGGCCATCCATACCGTGTAAGACAGCATATCTTCGAGCCCACGCTCTGTAGTCCGTGCCGTTCTCTCGATTCAATAGCTAAAATACGCCAAATATGATGAAGCCATACTGACCACGAGGGATAGCTACGACGTACTATTTGCAACTTCATGCTAAGGTACTGAGCTTGATAATTATATGTTTGTGCCTCGGCCAGTCGCTCGTCATAGGTAAGGCGGGTGTCGGTCAAAAGCGCGTCGTTCATGTCTCGGAGACTAAACGGCGGGATAGTCAAGAAGACCATTAGTCGCCAGCTGGATGCAACTTACGAAGAGCTTTGAACGTCATCCGTGGCGCTGCCATACTTCAGATAGGTCTGAACGTAGTCGAGAACAACGTTGGTGCTATCGTGCCACTGGGTAACTTCGTCGCGTTTGGGAGGCTTAGGGCTGTTCCAGGAGAGAGTCATGATTTTCAGTTGTTGTTGTTGTAATTGGATCTGAGGAATATGTTGAGAGGTCGAAAGATGGAACTCACTTTATATACTGTACTACAGGATGTGCCCAAGCGGTTGTGGCCAGTGGCTGTGTGGCCCAAACTTGAACACCATTGACCGAGGAACTCTCTTTGTGGACAGTTTATATATTAAGCCCGCCGCCTAGGATTTTGACCATCGTAAACAAAAACATATCCAAATATGCAATGGGCACTGGCTGGCTGCCACAAGTCACTTGTTCAGGGAAGACGTCGGTATGAGAATCCACGAAAGGGTCAAAAGTCATTTTGAAAATCGAAGGAAAGATAGGAGACAGTTACCATGTTAACCTATCGGTGCTATGTATGCATCTAGGTCATAATCAAATCAGCATATCATTGCTGACCGTGACCAGCGGTGACTATGTGGACTCTAAGTCAGAAGAGCCATCAAGGTCCAAGCCTATTATTGGGACAAAAGATGTGGCAGTTTCCTCGTTTGTGAGGAAATGGCTGAGCCACTGAACAGGTATGTGGATGATATGGAAGCCGCAAGACAGTGCAATTCTTGTTTTTGGGTGACGCATACGTACATTGTCTACCACATCTAGCTGATGCAGTGGACGGTCCTGTAGAAAGAATGGTTTTGACGTTACAACTATTGACAACATCCAAGCGTCGTCTGTGGTAGTATAAGACTGGATGCCAGGTCGGTGACCGTCGGTCTCCCCTAGAGTCCTAAACTGGTGATATGAATTCGGAGTGATGATGTGTCAGGGTGCCGATGAGTTGTACCTGAGGCCTGACTCTGCCAGCCCTAAACTCATCACATGACCTTTGACTGGAAGCCTAACAGTCCCAGCCTCCAGGTCCGCCTTGGCAGTTCCCCCAAATGTATGACTGGACCTCGACGCAGTTCAGTGGCTAGCTGTATCAGCAAGTAAGAATGTACCTCCCAATGCGAACACTGTACCGTGGTCCTGTCAGGTGTACCCTTAGCTCGGCGACTGCCACAGTATGACAGTAAGTGGATCGATATTACTCGTCTAGTAACAAGTTACGAAAAATCGACATTCAGTATTTGCCTAGACAATGCTATACACAACATGCGGTATCGCGTCAACAGAAGAATCTGCTCTACCTCGAAAGTAACACCAAAACCAATTCCGAGGACTTTCATCGCCCCACGTCGCTGGCTCGCAAACAGATCGACGATGAATTTCCGTTCTATTATTGCCTTGAAACAGAGCGGCGCGAGCTCAATGACAAAGTGAAAGTGACAACAGAAACTCTGATGAGGACGACGTTGCGCTCCTCCCCATCTGTTCAGGCGAACCCGCTAACTTCGACCTACTCAAGATTAAATGACGTTGCGGACGAATTTGCTCGGTAGTCCGTCTCAGCGGTGGGTTAGTTATAGGAAAATATAATGTTTTCATCGAATCCAATTCCAGCCTGCTCTCGAGCAACTTCTGAGTCGTTCCACGCAAGGGAAATCCTTGAACTTCCGAATCGAGTACCTGATCGGTGCATTGTCCTTCAGTTTTTATCCAAGCCAATCGACGAACGCCAAGCACTGACAAGCATCCGGATTCGTTTGTATGCCAACCTGTGTGCTTGAGTGTTCTAACTTCTAGCTCGGTTATTACACAGATCCGCTTACAGCTGGATTTCAGAGCCCACTCGTCAAATTGAAGTATTCCCGCTCAAACAGCTAATGCGAGCTCCCCTCTTGAAAGTACGTTTTAAGCGTACCTTGCCATTCGGCACGAGCCTGACTGAATTCGGGCTGAGGAGAGCGTCATGAAAATCACGCTCAGGCTGACAGCTGCAGCTCAATCCTCTGCGAGTTCATACTAACATGCGTACTGAAGGACACTAGCCTGAAAATTAAAATCTGCATGTTCCACAAACTATACTAAATTATCGAGTACGTCTATGATACTACGGTACAGATAGTCCTAGCCATTCCATCCACAGGATCACGGTGGCGGCAACTTGTTACATCTCTGGGGGACTTGCTTGAGCAAGGTGAAGTAGACGGGTGCTAATGCAATCAAGATTGAAACCAATGCCTTCTTGGTATATGACCTTCTCGGTTTCCGGTCCTGCAGTGCCATCCTTTAAACTGTTCTTCAGCTTCCTTTGCTCTTGGACTAGAAACGGGAGCAATTAAGTCGCAGTCTATTATCACATCAAAAATACTTACATTCCATGACCGCTAGTCTCTTTCTCCAGCTTTGGTCATTCAAACCTTTGGCTTTTTGTTCTTTCTAAAAAAACAGTAAGCTATTACCTACGCGCAACAAAATCGGTCTACTCACATCCAAAAGTGTGTAGTGCAACTTTTCTACTTGATAGCTGCATTCTTCCGCTAAGGCTACGCCGTTCTGGTCGTCATGAGCAACACGTCCTTCGAGAAAATGAACCGCGCTGTTCATGCCCCTGAGGCTAATGGTAGTTCGAATCAGGCATCGCAGCGAACATGAAGCATGAACATACAATGCTAGCTGTGCGCTATCTTTAGCATCTCCGTATACAAGCAGAGGTTCGCAATAGTTGAGCAGGTCCTCAGTACTCTTGTACCAGGCGGCGAGCAAGTTATGCATGTTAATGGAGGAGCAAGTGTTAAGTGGTAGAAGTTAAGGGTTGTAAGAGGGAGTCGTTCAAATTGGAGCTGTTTCGATATGTTAGCTGGACTTTATAATGACCGTTTGGAATTTCTGGAGGCGCATCTCATTAGCGAACACGTCAAGAATATACAAGAACAAGTTTACAGTCATATGGACAGAACAAAAACGCAACGACTGAGCCGGTTCTCCATGGGGTTATGTCATTGTTCTGATGTGACTGACAAGTATTTCGCAACCACGGTAGCGTGTCCACTGTAGCCCACAGCACGTAATTTTTACCAGCGCGCCTGCCTCGATTGTACAATATCATTTCTCACACCGCTGCATCGCAAACAAGAAAGTGCTGCGAGTTGGCAAGGAGCTGAAACGAAATTGAATGGATGAAGTTTGCGACCGGACCTTCAATGAATAACAAACTTGAGGTCTTACCAAAAAAGGAATGCGACACCAATCCTTTCTCGTAATCAGACTATTATTGCCAACAATAGAGACATTCAGGATGATCTCAGCGCGTCACTCGGTGCAAGCTTGGGTGTAGTTGCTACTCAAGTAGTGATACAAAAAGAAAATAGCATTTCTCTTCAAAGCCGGAACGCAGAACTATTCGAAGTATCATGACGAAACCTCAAACAATTTTTCCTGATACCTGCAGATTACCTGACAGGCATTCCCCTGCTACACACTACTGAAAGTTGGCACATGTATAGTATCCTGAAAAGCAATTGAGGTTATGCTAGCTGCTGCATCGGAGTTGGCCACGAGGTCGGCATGATACATTCGCACGCTAAGGATAAGGCGTGGTCCCAGCACAAACATTTGTATGTACGAGAAAATCTCAAAAACAGCGTTAGAAATCTGAACTCCCGCAGAATCTAGGTCCTATAAAAATGATGAACAGCGGTCACACGTAGATATCGGTGACAAATGGGCGCACCGAGACCTTTGGAGAGAGCTGAGTACCGAAGGCGGAGCAACATACAACGGTGAAGCTAGCGAGCGCGGCCTTTCAGCGGAAAAAGATAACCGCATTCAATTACAAGCTTACCTTGCAAAGTAAACCAAATGTGATTCTAATAACACTCTGAAACAGTCCCTGATGATCGATCCTGTCGATGGGCCGAGTCGTCGCAGCTCACGGAAGTGTTTCACAGCAACCCAAACCGAAAGGCAGAGTGCAAGAACCTCCCATATAGCGGCGAGTAGCCAAGTTACGGAGATCAGGAGTAGGTCGTCTGCTGTATAGATATAAGCACATGCATGTGTGCCGGAGAGAATGAGCTCCTCTGATATTCGTCAAACGAGCTTAATTCCTTGATATGTAACTAAAGCTTACCCCCTGACATGTGCCTGAGAACCATTGCCGCAATCACTCCGCAGGTAATGTTGACAACCAAGAAGATTATAGTGAGAAAGATAAGCATCTTTCTGGATCCCTGATACATGGCATGTAATCGAGCGAGCATGATGACTTGTACGATGTTTCAGTCAATGGCACTGAGGTCATGCAGTAGAGTCGCTCACCACCTAGCATTGCGGCTACAATTACATTGATCCAATTTAGTGTGGAATACAAGATAACGCCTGAAACACCTAGTTAACTATCATTCCGGAAGAATCGATGTGTCCAAACAAACTCACACCTATTGTGGTCATTGTATCGAAACAAGAAGCTGGTCGAGCATCGCACTCACTCCTACATAGAAGGACAGTTAATAGAAAGGTGCCAGGGCAGGATACTCACTGCATCTGTCACCGAAGATCCTGTGTGCCACCGATCAGAAGACACGAATACATTGTAAAAGGAGACGCACCCATCATACTATTGATGCTAATTGTGAGAGATGGCTGATTAGCACAATGCCATCATATCAACCCTGTAAACATACATATAATATGGTATTCCAACGTAGCGTATCTAGAACAGATCAGAGTTAGTCCAACTTGCCAACATGAGTCACTTACAATGAGATACAGAAGAGTCATCAAGGACCAGCGTTGTCTCTATACCGACAAAATGTACCATTGCGTTATCTTCTGATACGGGTGTCTACTCACCCAGATCAGTTCAACCTGTTGAACCATTCTGAGTGAGATGGCTGGTCCCGTAGTAATGGTACAAACCCACCTCTTCTCCGAACGTCAGCACTGGAAATATCATGAGCATATCAACGGTTCCGCAATAATATTTCACTCACCCCAATCGTATATCAGTGCGGTAGATGAGGCAACTGCGAAACCGCTATCCGTGTTAGAACGAGACGCTATCAACATGACTGGCTCTCCACGAACACGTAAAATAACTGGATGAACGAAACGAATTGATCATCGGCCACCAAGCGGGATCGTTTGAGACTAGCGTCATTTTCGCGGGAGGGTATACTAGTGCGAGCAGCGAACCTGATGAACATATAGCAATGGCTTTCTTCCTAGATATAATAGTACCTGCATTGCGAATATCGGCATGATGGAGATGAATGTACGTTCTCGCCACAAAGCCCTTGATTAACTCGGAGTGAAGTATCAAGATTCTTAGTAAGATCGTGATACCGAACCAAAGTAGGGTTCAGTTGAGGAGCTGCCAACCTAGTATCACTCGCAGGAATGATTAAACAAAGGTCGAAAGCAGTTAATGAATCGTGATGTCGGGGAATTCTCGTAATTTCCTTGCGATGCATGCAGCACGATTGATGTATTTGTAAATTTAACCATTGAGCTGTAATAGCTGGATGACACTTACGCGATGCAAAAAAAATGATAAGGGTTATGCACCTCTGATGCGAATCGGAAAGCGATGCTACAACGCACCGTGACTGTACATTAAAGTCAATGTGTCGGCCCTGCATCAACTTTTTGCACAGCCAGTTGACTGAGACTAGTCTGCTGAATGTAGTATATGACACTGCCCCCAGCTCAAGACAGAAAGGAGAGAGCACATGGTAAAGCACACGACTCCGATGGGCCTGTATGGCCGGAGGACTATGCAGGAAACCCGGCTACGAGTCCACGTACATGCTTGCTTGGCTTTGGAAGCCCACTAAACAAGGCGCGAGCTGACCTACCCTGAACCACTCACGTGACCAGCCATGTACGCTGAATTCATGTCACTGAATAATTCTTTACCAACTATTCGGAGTGATGCGTCGGTCGAACAAATCACACAAGGTGCGCACGGACTTGATCATTGACTACATATACATAGACCGGTCATCCAGGTTCCCAATGTCAAACTTAGACCCGCTCAACCACGATCCAGTCATGTGGACGCGCCATATGATCACAGCTCAGACTCCGAACTTGTCCCTCCCAATGCGAGTATGGTTGACCTGTGTCCTAGACCGTTCAGGGGTGTTACACTTTGCGCGACGGGTGCAATGGATAAGGTGCGTTGGTTCTGGTTGGGGTTGTGACAGACAGTGGTGAAGTTAACAGTGTGTGGGAAGGCTACTTTGTTCAAACAGGCATTTGAACTCGGCGCGACATCTACAAGTGACTTTACGGACAGAGTGACTCACTTACTAGCGAATAGCCACGGTGGAGCCAAGTACGCGGTGAGATTACCCACAGGTGCCTCTTGTCTTTGTTTAATCCTATTCATATGGGTGTAGTGTGCGCTAGAACGCAAAATACCCATCATGTGTCCCGAATGGATAACAGATGCACACCAGGTTTGGTTGCGTGGAGATGACGTAGATCTAGCAGAGGTGAGCATAACATAATCGTCGACAACACACTCCTAACGTCTCCAGACTGTTTCTACGCATCGCCTTCCCATCTTCTCCGGCGTCACACTCTCATTATCAGGTATTGATGACCTCGAGCAACGCGCAAATATAAACCGCGCCCTAACTAGACATGGCGGGATATATGTCAAAGCCATCGAACGCCCTGTCAAGGTGACACATCTACTTTGTGCGGGCGACAATGAGACCGAGAAGATGCGCTACGCCGATAAATTCAACAAACGTGGCGAGGCAAAAATCCACGTAGTCTGGGAGGAGTGGTTCTGGGACTGCTTGGAATTCAGAGGACGCTTCGAGGAAAAGCGTTACGTCGTCACGCGGCCGAGACCAGAGAGGAAGATCATGAACGAAGGTAAGTAGACATCTACTCCATAACCTTGAAAATCAATTTACACATAATAGAGCTCACCACTTCAATACCAGTCCACGACTCTGCCCCAGGCACGCACCCTTCGAATGCGATTCCTGTCGACGGCTATCTACCTAGGACGCCCGCCCCACCGAAACCAAGTCACGATTATGATCTGTTGGAGGAGGAGGAACCTGCATCCCTAGCACACACTCCCGTTCGCGCAGTGACGCTTCAGCTCTGGGGCAGCCTCTTACGTCCACGGGGTTTCGAGATCGATCCAGTTGCGAACAAGCTCGTCCGTAGTCCTTCAAAGTCACAGTCAATTGCAGGTCCGCCGATGTCGCCGATACGGTTACCGGCACGTCTTACGCCTGATGTGCGAACGAGAACCGCAGAGAAGGTGATAGAATCCCAGGGGAAATCTGTAATCTCGTCTTTTAAACGTGCCAAATCATTTGCGCCGCCTGCAAAGGAGCCAATGACGCGGCAGCCGTTCAGGCGGACAACCACCATTGCAGCTCTGGGACCTGGGGATGCAGAGGGGAGTGCAGCACCTTACCAACCTGAGGTGGATGACTCTTCGATGGCGACACTCTTTGCAGGTTACCACTTCCGTCTACTTGGGGAGGCAAAATGTGCGAATGTGCGCAATGCTATTGATCGTGGGGGAGGCGTGGTCATGGACGAAGATACTGACGATGTCGATTTCATTGTTGTGCGACTCATTAGGTGAGCTTCTACTCTCTCATATAAATGGGGCATCTTATGCACCGGATTGCTTAGTGGGAGCAAACTCTACCAGAACGAACCTGATGAGACATTGCGCGCCAAATATCGCACGGAATGTTGGCTCGAACACTCGGTCTTCCAAGAGCGAATATGTGGACCGCAGGAAAATATATCATTCAGGCCTCTTGGCCTTCCCTGTCCAATACCTAGTACGTGTCATGGTTACCTTTACTCATTTTATACGTGCTGACATGATCACAGACACCGAACAAATTATTCTAAGCCTTTCTGGACTTGATCAGTCTGAGTTATGCTGGACAAAGCGTTTGCTGCGGGCGTTGGGTATAACGCTTGCCCAGATATTCTCTCGACGTTCGACGCACCTACTTTGTCCGAGTGCCTGTGGTGCCAAGTACGACAAGGCAAAAGAGTGGAACATCCCCGTCGTGGGCATGGCATGGTTAGAGGATATGGCGAAGGCGGGTAAGGTACCTGACATCAGCGAATATCTCATTGGCGACGTTGGCAACCGAGCGGCAAAGGGTAAGGCGAGGGATGTACAGATTGTGGATACCACCAATGACAGTAAGCTAGAGTATCGTCAAACATTTAACGTCATATTTATTGTTTTATTGTCACAGGCTTGCCTGTCCTTCCGTTTTTCGTGAAGAAGCCACATCTCTTACAAGATCTTCGGACGCCTACTCTCCTTGACATAGAGCATGCCCCTCCGGCCACGTTCTTCGGCGAGTCAAATGGCTCACTCGACGACGCTCTGCCACAATACAAGAGCGACGATGGGGCGCGGTTTTCAGTCTCTCCGCCTCCTTTGCCACCGCAGAGTAGCTCACCCCCATTCGAATATGTTGCTGTGCACCCCGCGCGCCGGAGACCTCTATCATCCTCTGAAGACCTTAATCCTCCGGTCCCATCCCTGGATTCCAACGGACGCATACCCTCCTCCACCTCACCCTCGCCAATGAAGCTCCCCCCCAGCTCAGATGCGCGGCTGACGTGCGAACCCTCGCCAGTGCGAGTGCCTCATCCAAGAGACGTTGCCCGCGAGCTACAAGAGAGCCTGACAACGCTGCTCGGGAAGAGACAGGTATCAGAAGATGATGTTATGCGCCCAGGACAGCGGAAGGGCAAGCGGCCGCGCCCACTGCCGCGCCCCGGGGTTCGTTGGCAGTCTAGAGTTCCTTTCTCTTTCGTATTCATTCATCCATTATATTGTAGGTACAATCTCGGCAAGAATCACGCGAGAGCATCATTAGGGAGCCTCCGGCACGACTTGTGCCGCTTCCGCAGCCCATGTATTACGACGCGATGAGCCTGCTGGACGGGAGCACGCGTCCGAGCGAGGATAGTCTGCGCGTGACATATGAGGACCCTGGGCAGGAGGCGGAAAAGCGGAAGCTGCTGGCTTTACTTGGGGATGAGAATGTTGGCAGGAAGGGCAGGAGGAAGAGCACGAGGATAGCGGGCTATTGATCGTGATGTGCATTGGAGTGCCGTATCTCTTGTAGCGCGTATTAGTATATCATCTAGCCTGATCATATTGATGTAAAACATTGGCAAAAGTCTACAGGAATCCATGGGCATTAATGGGGTAGTGGTAACCTGGGTCGTTGCCATCGACCCGCCGGGGGTTCGATTCCCTCTTAATGCAGTGCGACCTTTTTGCGGCGGAGGCCCCGCTGTTATAGCATGATATACAGGAGGGAGCACAGCAGAGGAAAAAATCTGGCGTGGTCGGGGTGTATTATCTCCGATGGCCCCACCCACAGCTGGTATGTCTTCCGCCACGCATCTTTTTCATCCTCTGTTCCCGTATTCACCTCACAAGGTAGACTTGACCATTCCTCCATGTCCGGCTTACGAAGGCAGTCACAGGATATTTTAGCATGGTGCGACTGCAAATCGATACGCTGATCGCCAACAGCTGTTCGATTTCTTGTGTCAGTATTACTCGACCCCATCGAAAGATCAAAATTTTTGTTCATGTCTTTAATTGCACACTGGGATGCTGACACTTGGCGACGTCGGACATATGTTATCATAACGGCTGTCGGTCGCAGCAAGCTCTCACGGGATTCAGCTCGTTAGACTGATCAGAAAGGCGAGTGTTTTCTTATGGTCCTCTTTAGGCGCTCTCTCGTATGTCGATAAGATACGCATGACAAGGTTACAGATTACACTGAAGACCATAGGATAAATGACGTCCAACGATGTAAATTTGTCCTTTGGACCTAATGCAGACATCTTGTAAGTCGATTTCTCCTTTGTTCCACGATGGCATCATCTCAGTCCCGTCGCCCTTACTAAATACGATATACTCATCGATCGCGTGGAGCGAACTTTAAATGAAGCCTCTCTCGATGGATTGAGCGACAAAGCTATCAAAGAACTCGTCAAGGAAAAAGCAGATGCCGAGGTTCAAAATAACTGCATCAAACCTCTAGAGCAATTTGCAGGGCCTGGTAGTCCCCACGCCACAATCTCCAGTGTGTACCAATACTCTGACAGGTTCATGCGTGCCTCTGAAGTGTAATATTGCAGCCACAGAAGACTACAAGGAGACACTCACTCGCCTGATCGAAATAACTGAAAGCCGTGTCGATCAGCATTCTGCGCCCAAGGCCGCGATGATGACCTCCGTCGCTCAGCGAGTGCATCCTGGAATCAAAATAAATAAATTAAGTGAGTCTTGCTTGCCTCATTCTTATCCGCTGATTTACGCAATGTCAGGGTTGGCAAGCAAAGTTTGTCCCAGTTTCGCGTTCATAATCACTGAATACAGTCTAAATCTTAATGTCTTGCAGGATACCGGAAGGCGCTTGCATCATGCCCACCGCTCAGGAACCACCAGATGCAGGATTGTCTACTTATGCTTCATACTGACATCGTCAAGACATGGCTCAAATGCGTTGAACAAGTCCATGCAAAGCTTATGGTCTACCCACAGAAAGGCGAAACTCGATTTAAATGCTCCTGCTCCGCTTCCGCCAGACACGTCTCCCGATACCCCTCCTCTAGAAGATGCAGACCAACTACCCGCGTTAGAAAACCCAGTTGAACAAGGAGTATCTATTCCTCCTGCATCTTCCACAACACCTGCCACGAATGAAGTAACCTCGCCTGACATTCGTCCCCCTTCCTCAAAGCGAAAATTGCGTACAGCCCGTTCGACAGCAGAAGCCTGTGGGGTCCGCCGGGATGCGGAAAGACCTTACTGGCGAAAGCTGTCGCAAATGAGTCCAGGGCGAATTTCATTAGCGTCAAGAATCCTGAGCTTTTAAACAAGGTCACCCACGTTCTATCTCGAGTGAATACATGCTAATGGGAGCGTAGTATGTCGGCGAGAGCGAGAGAGCTGTGAGACAGGTATTCTCTCGTGCCCGTGTTTCATCTCCCTGCGTGATCTTCTTCGACGAGTTAGACGCTCTCGTCCCTCGGAGAGATGAAAGCATGGTACATATCCCGTACTTTTCACTCCAATATCTATCTCACATTCCTATTTTCAGAGTCAGAATCTTCCGCACGTGTCGTGAACACGCTACTCACAGAGTTAGATGGACTTGACTCCCGCAAAGCTGTCTATGTCATCGCCGCAACGAACCATCCCGATATGATCGACCTGGCTATGGTTCGCCCAGGGCGTCTCGACAAGCTCCTCTACGTTGACCTAGTAAGCGCCGACGAACGCGTCGAGATCATACGGACGCTAGCGCGTAAAGTCCCATTCGCGCCTACAGAACCAGATGCCGAGATGGTCCTGCAGCGCGCGGAGCACATCGTGCGGGAGAAATGTGATGGGTACAGCGGTGCGGACCTCGCAGCTGTCGTTCTGGAGGCAGGCGTTGTGGCGCTGAGACGTGTTCTCGGTGCGCTTGACCAGATGGATGACAGTGATGAAGGTTTGGTAGAGAATCAGCCGCGAGTAGTTGTCGTGTTGGAGGATTTCATTCGCGCTCAGGATAAGGTCGGTCCCAGTGTGTCTGCTGTGCAGCGGAGGAAGTATGAAGCGCTGCGAGCCAAGTTTGCTGGCCTTCCTGTGCGAACGGGGAAGGGTGTCGATTAGAAGTGAGCTATTAACAGTATAATGGGACGCTGATATTTGGCACTCCTGTGACACATGCGTGATTCGCTTGATCGAGCTTACTTTTTCTGATGCATAAAATGACTCCATTAATTTGGAATGAACCGAACCTCACGGATGGAGACAAAGTAGCCAAGAATCTGAGCACTATACCCGTGTCCTAGTGCTACCCAAATAGACACGGAACTCTTCCGGATTGTATAAGGAAACACCAACCATCATAGCTCTTTATGCTATGTCGTCTCCGCAGAGCAGGCCATTACTGCCATTCCAGTCGCTATAGGGAACAGTTCGTCATATACTGAGATGGTGGCATACGTTGCTCTAGTCTGGCACGCCCACAAGTACAGGTACAGTCTTATATCGCTACTAAATCCATTATCATACATTTTGTTCGTGATGAGAGTAAGAGTCCATTATCCAAAGATGTAGTATGTCCACAGGCACTGATATGAGGACCGTTCGTTATGTCGTGATCAGGTCAGCATCGGTCAATTCGTTTGTCCTCTGATGTCCTTTCCTTGAGGGTATCTCCAGATGTCATGTTGATCTGAGCAACCAGCCAGACTGAGAATATAAAATTTCATCTACTGTGGCGCAGCGTGTCGGTTCACCCACCTGATTGGTCGAGTAGCTAATGATAAACGCGCAGTTCGACTCTTCATGTCCCTGAGTGCAGTAGTCGTCCAACGGCGCAGTCGATTCCATGCTGTTTTTAGGTGTAGCTTTGGTAGGAAGCAAGTATTGGAGGATGCTTGTTTCTCGATCCCTTCGCCCCTCCCATTGGATTTCGCTTCGGTAACCCATCCTAGAAAATGTGGAGACTAATATGCAGAGATGTCATGAAATTCATAGACAGATTGAGAAGCAAAAATGGGATAGCACTCACGTCAGATTGGACAGACTTTATTGATTCTTCATTGCAGGCGTTCATTATTAACTTTGGCGGTTTATTGTCAGAGTATGATGCTGGCTTCGACATAGAACTCGGTATCTCCACCACTGTCACGCTCTCTGCACTCAATGAGTCCTGCAGTGTGATGTATTAAGCAACCTGCTAGTAAGGATAGCATACGAGTCTAGCGCTCACATCAATCCGCACGATGTTAAGAACGTCTTGTTGCATGTCGTAGTTCATGGGCCGTCGAGAGCGTTTCAATGACGGGCGTGATACCATCCGCGTCCATAAGTTTGCTTCTGACATTGGATCTGGGTCAAGAATTGTAGTGCAACATGAAGAGTTCGGTCTGGATCCTGATGGTAGTTGCTGAATCTAGAGGTACGATCAGGCACGACCCTCATAAGCTTCTCGAATGCTAAATCGCGAATACATGCCTCGGGTATCCGGTAGACCCATTGATCATACGAGGGAGGTCCACTGGAGCATCGGCTTGTGAGAGATGGCCCTCCCACATCGAGGGTGGTGGAGTGTGGCTGCTGCCGATCGTAACTGGAGGAAGGCGGCGGTACTACGAGACTTGTCCTTGGACACTCTCCGAATGTGAAGTACTTCTCCAGGTCATCTTCAGTCAGAATTCCTCCCTGCATAGAAAAGCTGAGCGCTCGTAAGTGAAGATGATGCTGTCGAGAACTTTACGCGGAAGACTTACGGAGCCGGTAGGGTTGGACGAGGTAAGGATAGGCAGAATCACAAGCTGGTCGAAATTGAAGGAGTTATATTTTGAAATTGTTGTTCCCGCAGGATTGCACGAGGCTGATTGCACAGGAATCCCGCGATAGTGTCATCGTGCAGGTTAACTTGGCTACGACATTTCTGGACCCGGTAAGGGATGACCGTCCGGCCTCTTCTGCATGTACCGGTCCAGACGCCCTCGGCACCGTTAGTAAAATGCCATGTGACACGTCCCTCCACACTTTTCGATGAGAATAACCCCAACCAACCCCATGGATGACGGCGAGATTTTAGCTCAGTGAGAGTGTTCGGCTGCGAGCGCAGCCACGATCGTGAGACTGACTCATCGGTATCCTTAGAATGATGATCATGATAGTAGAGGATAGCCCCATCGATTGAATCACCGATTCATGATACTGACCCTGTGTCGCTTGCTAATGTCCCAGTGAGTTAGCTATGATTCTGCTCGTACCAAACTAATAAGTTATACGCCTATTACCTCAATACGGGTTCTATATTATGGCAATGACCTGTGATATTAGAAAGCTGGAGTTTGGCTGAACATTTTGCCTAAACTTAGAGGTGAAATTAGACGCCCCATAGAAGTACATTCGAAGATCTTGAAACTTGGAAGCGGGAATCCAAATCCTAGAGAGTATACATTATATATGTCGCGAATCTTAGGGTAATGCGCTTAGCTTAGCTGATGATTCAAGGCCAGGCAAACTGCCCGCGGATGCTCACGGAGATACATTTATGCTACTTACAAATACCTCGAGTGACCAAGATGAACGAACAAAACGGAGAACATACACGCGCATGAGCTTGCTGGCACAATGCAATTGGATATCAAACGAAATTAAAAAAAATCTACTACTCCCTGACAAATACCGTCTTACCGCACATGTTACAACATCATGCCTAAGTGCAGGCTGGAATATTGGACAATGGGACATGTTGAGGTCGATCTTGAAGAGAATGCGGTGGAACTCAAGTCCCCGCAATATACCCGTGTGGCAACGGCGGTACAGCTTGCTACTGGAAGACGTCCATCATTCTAACGTGAGTGTGATGACGAGATCCAGGGTGTACACCTCATGTATAGCTCCAAGAACATTTGCGTGAAGCATGAATAATTGACATCTGTGAGGAGCAATCGGGGTGGCGGGAAAATCTGCAATGCATTCGTGATGTCGTGGGACTGCGGTATCGGACTGGGGGCAACTCATGGTACAGCAAAAACGGCAATTATAGCTTGCAATGCTTGAGCTGTATGTCAAAGATTAATCAGGTAGTCGGACACGCTCATCTGGTCAAAGCGGTGTGGATAAGGCACAGACAACAAGTAACAGAAATGATTGTGACTTACGGTGGAGCCACGAGGCATCTGCTTCGAAAGATAAACACCGCACCATGAATTTTATTGTTCCGATGAAAGACAACATGATGGCAGAGAGCGAAAGCAGACACCACCTGAAAAGGTTATCGAATCTTCAAATAACAATAGAGGCATATAACTAAGGAAAAACCAATAATAAACAAGAGGATGAGAAAGGACTCTGGTCAATGGAATTATGTGGCCTTTAGTTTATAAAGCGGGTGAGTGCAGAACGAAAGAGTGCGAGATGAACGGACCTGGTCATGAAGTTTCCCATGCAAGCTCTCCCAGTTTTGTGCCCTGTACCTGGTACCCTCTAGATGCCTTCCTCTCCTTCCTCTGCTCTGACTGAGAGCGTACAGCCTTTGCTGGTACATTCTCAACCTCGACTAATTCCTTCACTTTGAGAATTTTTCCTGCAGCTTCTGGACTGTGAACTTGATACACGGTTTGCATGCGTCTATGCAGCCCGAGCGCTACCAAGGTTTCCTTCTTCCGTTCGCCTAGTGCAATTGCAGAGCGGCGGAGAGTGATTTTGAAGTGGGTGTTTTGTTCTGATTTAGACGCTACTTTTTTTTGTACCGCCGTCGCGAATGACCGTGACGAAGGCCTGAATATGTTGTTCGATGTTATGCGGAACAGCGACGCCATAGTCCTTGCAAAGTTTCAGTCGATGCGGCAAAGGACAATTTGGATGTTCGCTTACTAATCAAGTGTTGAATGGGTCCAAATTGGGACGCGTTGGAACTCCTGATTCACGATTGTCGAGATGAGCTCACTATATCGCTCTGCAATTAGTGCCCGAATAGCAAAGTTACCACAGCTACCACCAAGCTACGAGGACGATGATGAAAAATCCGAGATTACTGATGGAATCGGCGAACTCTCGACTGGCATGGGGCCACCTCCACTGTATGTCACTTTCCATCAGAGTCCAATCCTTTCTTGCTCATTGTTGGATAGACCACGGCCAAGCACATCAACCCGAAAGCCAAAGCCACCAAATCCTGAATTCAAACCATTAAGTCCTGCTTCATACTTTTCTCAGGCATTGCAGATATCGCTCCCTACCCGAGCCCTTGACGTTCGGGTGTATTACACTCCTCCGAAGTACGACAATGGAGGTGTCATAGTATTCCACCACGGTGCAGGATATGCGGGTACAAGCTTTGCATGTCTCGCGAAAGAGATAAGTGAGGTCATGAGGGATAATGTCGGTGTCCTGGCCTTTGATGCCAGGAGACATGGTATGTATTCGCTTCAGGTGGATGCTGAATATTCATCGTCTTTTCAGGAAAGACAACATCATCTCAGTCTGATGAAGACCTTTCGATAAATGTCCTTGTTGATGATTTTTGTGCTCTGATACAGACGATTTACCCAGATGTGACAGCAGCTCCAAATTTAATGGTAAGCTTCATTCTCCCTTCTACGCAAATTGAATTGACGACACTCTGGATAGCTTGTTGGACACAGCATGGGGGGATCTGTCTGCGTTCGCGCCTGTCCCATACTTCAACAATGCAAATATAATATCGCAGGAGTGGCCGTTTTGGATGTGGTAGAAGGTACCTATTACTACATCAAATCCTGTAATTTACACGAGTTTGACCCATCACCAATAGGCACAGCAGTCGAAGCGCTGCCTCATATGCACGCGATTCTTAATTCTCGACCCGAGGGTTTCGATAGCGTCGAAGAAGCAATCGAGTGGCAGTACGTGTTTGGCGTTGCCCTTCGTAAATGCTATATTCACGTTTGCTCATACAGCGTCAATACGGGCCTTATCCACAACCCCACTTCTGCTCGTGTTTCGATTCCATCTATCGTCGTTCCTACAGATTCTCCTCTTACGCCTAGCACACGCGCACATATTGGATTCAAATACAAGTGGCGTACACCACTCCGGTCGACGGCGCCATACTGGGACAGTAAGCCTACGCTTGCTCCCTTGACTTGCACCACCCACTCATACCGATCTTCTTTCAGGTTGGTTCCCGTCGCTGTCGTCTCTATTCCTCGGGCTTCGCTCCGCACGGCTCTTAGTGTTAGCAGGTGCAGAGCGCCTTGATACAACGCTCATGGTCGGTCAGATGCAGGGCAAATTCTGGCTCGAAGTCATGGCTGGTTCGGGTGTAGGACATCTCGTGCACGAGGTTCGTCGCTTACTTGCGATAGACGTTTACTCATTTATGTTGACGTGAAATTAGGACGATCCGACGAAACTGGCAGAGATTCTGGCAGATTTCTGGAGGCGCAATGAACGCATCGTGGTTCGAGGTAACGTTATCAAGGCGGTCGGGGAGGTTTAGAGGAGCTAGACATGTCAATCAATGTATCTTTGGTTGTGCGCTTTTTTCGCAGTGTAATCGTTGCGCGCGTCCACCTAAATCACAGGCTCGGTGCAGGACATAGCTAACATGAACTTTGAAGACGGTCGCATTATTGGGTCAAAACTCACTCCACTCATAAGGAGACATCTCATTAGTAATCCAAAATTCGAGTAAGGTACCTCGGATAAATAAGCTGGTACGAATAGAACCAAGATCTTTTGTCTAGCTTCGTCTCATGCAAAATGGAATGAGGCCAAATATACAGTGATTGGGCTAGGATCGAGCGTTAGCTGGGTTCGAACGCTGGCGAGTTTGCTGTTGGGTGGGCGGGAAACTCGAATGCAGGTTGAATGAATGACTTTTATAAGCATTTATGGTATACGAAACTGGTATTAATGAAGGAATGTGGAGTGTTAACGTGCCAATGTAAATCAATGGCAAAAATGAGTGAGCGAGCGAGCGTGGTCGTATGGTGCATTGAGGGAGAACAAATTGTGAGAAAAGGCGATGCTAACTGCCGCTTAGGTGCCAGTTCTTAACAAATTTAATTTGTCGTAGCATAGGTGTACTCAGTGGTGGCGAACCCGACTTGAGAGTTTGTCGTGTCGAACACCGAGTAAAACCTCTCGCTATGGAAGAACAATTCAGTATTTTATTTTCCCGGAAAAATTTGTAGGTCAACGTACAGGAAACAGTAGCCATTCGTGAAATCGTTACCAGAACCGCTGGAACTCCCAGTGCTACTGACGATCAGGTATATACCGTCGCTGGTACCGCCAATGGCGCTGTTCAACGATCGAGGCCAGATTTGCGCATTCGGGGTGAGCTCATAAGCGACCCCACCAATAGTGAAATACAAGGATGACAGCTGGTCGTACTGGTCGGATGAGATCTTTAACAAGTCAGTGGCCTCATCGAAGGTTCCCCCCGTAGCAGACTGATATTTGTCGAAGGCATCTGAAAAATGGATTAAAAGGGTTCTCATGTCGTACAGGACACCTACCGGAGGCAATGTAAATCAGGGTGGTTCCGGTATCGACGATACCAGCTGTCTCATCTAAAATGAGCGTAGACCCATAGCTGATGGATTGATTAATGCCCCAATATCCATTCGCTGGAGATGTCGATGTGATCGGCACGTAGCTGACGTCTCCGGTAATTTTGGAGGCGTCATAACTGCCGAATGTGAGCTCGCCACTGCTATCATCGGAGGAAGCAGGTGCAAAGAACACTCCGAGTACTTCCGAACTAATTCTTCCCTGCTTATACAGGTTATCTGTCACAGTTGCAACTTCGTATGTATTGCTGACGGTGCCCTGCGTTAAATCAGCTGGTCCAAGTCCAAGAATTCCATCCAGGCCCTCCATCCCTAAGGATCCAGATGCGACGCCAATAGATTGGTTGTCGATGACCAAATCAGAGTTGAGCGTCACGGTGTCTGTGTATTCCTCTCCAACAACATCACCACTACCATATGCAACACTCTGGAAGCGGTCTGACAAAATGTATGTGCCACGTGGAAACAAACACTCACGAAGATACCGCCTGTGTCATGACTTGTAGCAGTCTTCTCGTAAGCTTTAGCCTCGATCCAGGTATTTGAGCTTCCCGTGTCTACCAGAACTGTGTCTGTATGAAATCGACAATGCGTCAGATAAAGGAATAGCAGGTACACGAGCAGCTTACAGTACGTTGGTGGACTCCCCACGCCAATGTCAGCGGTGTATAGCATCACATTATTGGTTACACTGATGGAAGAGCTGCCGCCATTAGCTTGTCGAGCTTGGATTCGAGCTCTATCTGCAGCTGCGATGTTCTTGATCCCGTACGAGTTTATTCTAACAGCGAGCTTGAGAGTAGCCGGGCTTGACGCTGTCCGAGGATGAGGCAAAGCGCTCGCTGACAGAGAGAAGAAGGCAAGCGCCGGCAGGGCAAGAAGATATGAAAGCGATCTAGAGGGAACCATCTTGCCGATGGCATCCTACTAGTACCTGGGCCGTTTTATATGGTGGTCGGTATCATGACGTTACTCCAGGAATATCATGGAGGCGAACAACCTTAGCAAGGCTTTGTGAAAAGCAAGTACGTTAACTGCTTGATATGTAACTGGTGTGGAGACCATTTCCTATGTAGATGAGTGTCAGTTAGTAAGTGGCTGCAGGGAAAGTCTGGAAATGACCTTTGGATGACCTGCAGGAGTTTATTACAGAACCTGTTTGGCAGAAACCTGATCAATAATTCCCTGAGAAAGGCGTGATTCTGCAATTTTGGGTTTGCTATAGCCCATTTGAACATTTATTTACATAACACATTTTTTTTTAAAGTTCAACATCTAGAAGTTCTGAATCCGAAGTTCGGAGTGGGCCACTAGTAGTACTTAGCTTCATTGATTCAAACAATTGCGTGGTTTGCATTGATGGTGGAATATGACTAGTACCCATGCATGTTAGCCCACGTTACACCAACCCTGACTCAGTCGGACCCGTTTACCTGCTCCGCTCTATCTGCCTACTCGTCTAAATTCATGTCAGTAGTAGGCCTGAAGGCTGTAGCAATACTGAAGTCATCATCATGCGTGGTGTGGGGGTGGCTAATGCGCCAACTGCAAACTATATCTTACACCGAACTCGGGAATTAGCTGGATAACTCACACGGGTATCGGTTACTTTTATATGACTAAGTGCTCTTTCTTTACATTTCTATAACTGGTTGGCTCCTCGACTGACTTTCTTGGAAAACAAAGTAGTCGATAGTCGGGCTGGGGCTGGGACCGGGCGTTAGGCTGGGTTCAAACGCTGGCGAGTTTGCCGTTACGAAGCTGGTATTAATAAAGGAATGTTAACGTGGCAATGTAAATCAATGGCAAATTTAATATTACAATGTGATGGCGAAAATGAGTGAGCGAGCGAGAGTGTGTAAAATGAACGAGTGAGTCATATGGTGCATCGAGGAAGCGAGGAAAGGCGATGCTAACTGCCGCTCAGCTGCCAGTTCCTTACGAGTTTAATTTGACGTGGCATCGGTGTACCCAGTGGTAGCGAACCCGACTCGAGAGTGTGTCGTGTCGAACACCGAGTAAAAACGCTCGCTATGGAAGAACAACTCAGTATTTTATTCTCCTGGAAGAGTTGTAGCTCAACTTACAGGAAACAGTATCCGTTCGTGAAATCCAAGCCAGAGCCGCTGAGGCTCCCAGTGTCAGCGATAACCAGGTATATGCTGTTGGCATCACCGCCAACGGCGGTATTCAACGATCGAGGCCAGATTTGCCCATTCGGGGTGAGCTCATAAGTAACCCCACCGATAGTGAAATACAAGGATGAGAGCTTCTCGTACTGGGCGGATGAGATCTGTAACAAGCCAACGTTCTCATTGAGGGTCGCCCCCGTAGCAGACTGATATTTATGGAACGCATCTGAATAGTGGATTAGAAGGGTTCTCATGTCGTACGGGACACCTACCAGAGGCAATGTAAATTAGGGTGGTTCCGGTATCGACGATACCAGCTGTCTCATCTAAAATGGGCATAGACCCATATCTGATGGATTGATCAATGCCCCAATATTCACTCGCTGGAGATGTCGTTGTAATCGGCACGTAGCTGACGTCTCCAGTGATTTTAGAGGCGTCATAACCGCCGAATGTGAGCTCGCCACTGGTATCATCGGAGGAAGCAGGTGCAAAGAACACTCCGAGTACCTCCGAACTAATCGTTCTCTGCTTATAGAGGTTGTCCGTCACAGTTGCAACTTCGTATGTATTACTGACGGTGCCCTGCGTTAAATCAACTGGTCCAAGGCCAATAAGTCCCTCCAGGCTACCCATCCCTGAGGATTGAGATGCGACGCCAATAGATTGGTTATCAATGACCAGGTCAGAGTTGAGCGTTACGGTGTCTGTGTATTCCTCTCCAGAAACGGAACTACCATCGCCATATCCAACACTCTGGAAACGGTTTGACAAAATGTACGTGCCACGTAGAAACAAACACTCACGAATGTAGCGCCTGTGTCGTGGCTTGTAGCAGTCTTCTCGTAAGCTTTGTTAGTCCCGATCCAGGTATTTGAGCTTCCCGTGTCTACCAGGACTGTGTCTGAGTGAAATTGACAATGCGTCAGATAAAGAAACGGCAAGGACAGGAGCAGCTTACAGTACGTTGGTGGACTCCCCACGCCGATGTCAGCGGTGTATGTCATCACATTATTGATTGCGCTGATGGAAGAGCTGCCGCCAGCTTGTCGAGCTTGGATTCGAGCTCTATCTGCAGCCGCGATGTTCTTGATCCCATACGAGTTTATTCTAACAGCGAGCTTGAGAGTAGCCGGGCTTGACGCTGTCCGAGGATGAGGAAAAGCGCTCGCTGACAGAGAAAAGAAGGCAAGCGCCGGCAGGGCAAGAAGAGATGAAATAGAGGGAACCATCTTTCCGATGGCACCCTTCCTACTAGTACCTGGACCATTTTATATGGTGGTCGGCATCATAACGTTACTCTGGGAATATCATGGAGACGAACAATAGCAAGGCTTCGAAGCAACTACGTTAGCTGCTTGAAATGTAACTAGTAGGCTCGGGGCTCGTTGTGTGAAGATATAGTATGTCCCATGAATTCATCTACGCAGGAAATGAGTGTCGGTTAGTAACTAGCTGCAGGGGAAGTTTGGAAATGACCTTTGGATGACCTGCACAATTTTATTACAGAACCCGTAGCAGAAACCTGATTAGTAATTCACTGAGAAAGTCGTGATTCAAATATTCAATATTCGAGGACATCCAGGAAACGGCCAGTCTGGGGCCAAAGTCTGGGGCGGAGTCTGGGGTCAAAGTCTGGGGCTGCGGCTGACGCGTGCGGAGCTTAATTCTGAGTTCCAATTATATCTGGTCACGTTTGCAATACCAGTGTGACCCGTCCATTGTGAGTTGTGACTCGCCCTTTGTGACCTCTTGCAGGCCGCACTGCACTTGGTGACATCAATGATCAGTCCCAGGGAAAACTGGACATGGCCAAAACGGTTGAGATCAAGTGGAATATTGTTTAGACATATAATTTATGCTATAATATTGTGTAATCTTCAACGACACGATCGTCTACACATCGCATCGTAAAAACATTACATCGTTGTCGATTTGATGCGCACACTGCGGCCATTGCATTGTCGATCGCACTAAAGTTTGTCAAGCGCTCGCACGACGCACGTGCACCGCATGCACTTCTGCTATGCAATTCATCGACTACTTCACATCGTGCTGCATCACATACATCGCACAACGGCTAGCTATAGTACGTACTCTTTTGTTTGCGCAGAGTTTGTGACATCATTCACCCCAAAGTTATAATTCATTGGGGCAACCCTATTTTTCCTACTTCTCCTCATAACATCATCTTCCCGCCAAGTCATCATCCTCCTACTGTCGCCAACTTCCTCAGCAGATTGTATGAATCTTCGATTTAAGTATGTTATCACTGTATGTATCATAACAAAGGTTGTATGCTCAGTAAGTGGAACTCTTCTTTATGTTGTCCAGTCTAATGACTCCGAGACTGTTCCAAGTTCGAACTTGAAGCTGGTACCTGTACCGACAACCACTACCGTCCTCGATACCATATCCTTTCATTCTACTGACACTTCTGTCCACAGTCTTATGATAGGGAGGCTAGAGAACTCGTAAGTACAGCCTTGCTACTCATATTATCAAGTCGCTGAGACTTCTTAGGAAAAAGCAGGGCGCTGGACGAAGAACAGCGCCTGCTCGCTCGTCTAACTCCTCTACTGTCTACATCATTCCTGCCATCGCCTGCTGGTCGCTTCCAAATTACCTGTGCTCGCCTGTCTCACTCCACATCGCTCCTGTTCTTTTGCTATTGCCTGCCGGTTTCCTCCCGATTGTCTCCCTCCTCGCCTGTCCACGTCGCTCCTGTTCTTTTGCTGCCGTCGAGGTTGCCTGCTTTACACTGTCGTGCTAGTTCTATCACCATCATCCTATATCGTGTTTTCTGGTCGTAGGTCGAAGCATTTGTATTAGTAGATTATAGCATATTTCACCCGAATACAACCGATTTTGTCGTACCAGTGGAACTCGATTGAAATATGCTGAAATATGATATCAATATTCTTAACATATCCTACAACATTCGAGAAGATTGCAACAGATGCGAAATATTCTATTTGTCTCCACAGCGAGTCTCCTATAGTGAAATATGGTGCTTCTAAATTCGTCATATTCCGCTTGATCTCAACCATTTTGGCCATGTCCAGTTTTCCCTGGGGATCAGTACTCAGTACTCCCAGTGAGAATCAGCTGTGCTCGAATAGGGCTGAATGTGTTGAAATGTGCGTTTGAGAGACAGCGCACATACTCGCGCATTTCGCTCGATATCCGGACTGACAGCATATTTTCTATAAGACGGGGCAGTGCCCCATGTGCTCTATACTATTGTGCTTCTTTTATATTGCGCACATTTAGGCGCATTCACGCACACTCGCGCTGTCCTCCCAGAATGTGCTTAAATAGTGTCAAATATGCTTTGATTGCTTAGTAGGTATTATGCGGAATACAATCGGTATACGAAAGCAGCTGGAAAATAGTGAAACCGATGCGAAACAGGTGGAGTATACCTCGAAAGTACATTGAGAGCCGAGCATAAACGAAATAGACAACAGCCTGAGAGCGGATCGCAAACATCGAGAGCCGAGCAGAAAGGATGTAGACAGCAGAGCAGATCGAAAACATGTTGAGAGTAGACAGCGGAGGAGATCGAAAATGGGAAGCAGAAAACACAGCAACGAAGGTGCGGCAGACACTGGTAGCAGAATCAAGACACGTTGAGGAAGCACAAGTGTTGGGACAGTGGATTGACGATCATAATTTTGACTGGTTTTGGTGCGGAGAAGCACGAACATAGCATGCTAACTGCATGTGGTGAGTAGATTGGCGGGTGTGTCGGCAGCCGCTAGCCATCTACGACGGGCACACTAGTACTGGCAGGAGGCACGATGATGGCGGGCGGCTTTGGAATTGTCACAAAGCAAACACGTGACAAAAACAATTCAAACTCAGCCCGGGTCAGCCGTGTTTGCCGAACGCCCCAGACTCTGGCCCCAGACTCCGCCCCAGACTTTGGCCCCAGACTGGCCAGATCTCTGACATTCACCAATATTCAGGCCTTGCAGCAGGCTTCAGCGCCCGAGCATTTACATAACGTAGATTTTTTTTAAAGTTCAAGTCACATCTGGATTCTGGAAGTTCTGAATTCGAATTCCGAGTCGCAGTGAGTACGTCAGACTGGTCATCGTCGAGTCTAAGTGATAACTTGATCAGCCGATCAAGCCATGATGTCAAAGCAATCGTGTGGTTTGTATTGATGGCAGAATATTCTATGACCAGTAACCTCACGTTGCACCAACTACGATGCTGATAACAAAACTATATACTTCTAATCAAGATCTTCCTCGTGTACACAGAATCATGACTTTGATCTCAGGGCTTCATATTTTTTTATAACTTTGCTATGCAGTGGACATAACGGGGTTAATCTTATGCTGAGCACACATAAGATGCTGGAAGAAAGTCGTCATGATCAGAGTCCGGTTAGTAAGTTTACCATAGCACCATCGCTCTCAATCATGGACCGATGCACGTTAAACACAAAATTCAAGTAAGGTACGTTGTTGGGCATATATGCTGATATGAATAGGAATTTAATTTGTTATAGCATAAGTCCACTCAGTGGTGGCGAACCCGACTTGGGAGTTTGTCGTGTCGTACACCGAATAAAATCGCTCGCTATGGAAGAACAATTCAGCAACACATTTTCCTGGAAAATGTAACTCGACGTACAGGAAATAGTAGCCGTTCACGAAATCCAAGCCAGAACCGCTGGGGTTCCCAATGTCAGCGACGACCAGGTATATGCTGTTGGCATCACCGTGAACGACGGTGTTCAACGATCGAGGCCAGATTTGCGCATTCGGGGTGAGCTCGTAAGTGAGCTCGCCAATAGTGAAATACAAGGATGACAGCTTCTCGTACTGGTCGGATGAGATCTTTAACAAGCTAGTGGCCTCATCGAGGGTTCCCCCCGTGGCAGACTGATATTTCTCGAAGGCATCTGAATAATGGATTAGAAGGGTTTTCATGTCGCATGGGACACCTACCAGTGGCAAGGAGAATCAGGGTGCATCCGGTATCGACGATACCAGCTTTTTGATTCAAAATGGGCGTATCCCCATAGCTGATGGATTGATCAATGCCCCAAAATGTACTCGCTGGAGATGTCGATGTGATCGGTACGTAGCTAATGTCTCCAGTGATTTTGGAGGCGTCATAATCGCCGAATGTGAGCTCTCCACTGCTATCATCGGAGGAAGCAGGTGCGAAGAACACTCCAAGTACTTCCGAACCAATCGTTCCTTGCATATAGAGGTTTTCCATCACAGGTGCAACTTCACCTGTATTACTGACGGTGCCTCGCGTTAAATCAACTGGTCCAAGGCCAAGAAATCCATTGATGCCTTCAACTACTGAGGTTTGAGATGCGACGCCAATAGATTGGTTGCTGATAACCAGATCAGAGTTAAGCGTTACGGTGTCTGTATATTCCTCTCCAGAAACGGAACTACCATCGCCATATGCAATACTCTGGAAACGCTTTGACAAAATGTATGTGTCCCGGAAAAACAAACACTCACGAATGTATTGCCTGTGTCCTGGCTTGTAGCAGTCTTCTCGTAAGGTTTTTTGGCTCCGATCCAGATATTTGCGTTTCCGGTGTCTATCAGAACTGTGTCTGTATGAAATCGACAATGCCTCAGATGAAGAAATTGCGGAAGAACGAGCAGCTTACAGTACGTTGGTGGACTCCCCACGCCGATGTCAGCAGTGTATAGCATCATATTATTGGTTACATTGATGGAAGAGCTGCCGCCAGCTTGTTGGGCTTGGATTCGAGCTCTATCTGCAACTGCAATGTTCTGGATCCCGTACGAGTTTATTCTCACAGCGAGCTTAAGAGTAGCCGTGCTTGACGCTGTCCGAGGATGAGGGGAAGCGCTTGCTGACAGTGAGAGGAAGGCAAGTGCCGGGAGGGCAAGAAGGGATGACAGCGATCTGGAGGGAACCATGGTGGTCTGTAGTAAAAGCATCAGAACGTTATTCTGGCAATATCTGAATCGCAGAAGCTAATGATGACAAGATTCAGAAATGATTACCTTAACTTGAAATGTGACTGGGCCACGGGGCTCATCGATGCATCGCGTGGAGATGTATTTACTATTCGAGTCCCATGAAATTCATCTATGCAGGAAATAATTGTCGGATAGTGAGTATTTGAATAGTTGCAGCAGAAGTCTGAAAATGACCTGCAGGATTTTATTGTAAAACCTGTTAGCAAAAACCCTCAGTACTGCATAGTAGTAGTCACTGATCATTGATCAAGCTTAAGAAAGGCGTGATATACTCATTTAAACAGTATTTACGTAACGCTCTACACGTTCCAACTCGGAGCGGCCTTGATCACTTTTGAGTCAAAATTCTGCTCTCGCCACTGGCAGGAAACGGAGTGCTTATTTGGGCTCATTCAACTTAGTGAGTGCATAAGACGGAATGTTCTTTGAAGCTTGTCTAACTTCAATGAAGGATCCAGAAACGGACAACATGTCTAAGTCGTCGTTGCTGTTCGCGATGCGAGGATGTTGATGCATTGATGGCTGACAGGGACGGTGGTATGGACGTGCGCTCGTGTTTTTGAAAACTTGTCTCAGGTCTGATGCCGATAGATTATAGGACACAGTGGTACAATCCCCCATACCTGAGACATTGATGCTGAATAACTCGGCAACAGTGTATCCGGCACTGTCAGTAAGATAATATAGAAAGCAGGCTTTGGTGGAGAATGATGATAGCGTTCCCGGAGTATGACATATATGGTCAGTCAGGCTTATCATCTAGACTTATACCGCCACAAAGCGCGATCACACTTAACAGTTGTACCATGCGCAAGTGCAGGACACGAAGAATGAATGGCTGCCTTCCTCATGTGTCGTGGCCTATCGGGAGCTGATCAAGCACAATATCTGGCTAGCGCTTGAGACCCGTATGTGAGCCGGCTTCCTGATACGGTTCAATGTCCTAGTCTGCCCAATGTGGACTAGTAAGCATCAAGGGTCAATACCAACGCTATACTGTGTCTCTGTGTATCGAGCTAACTGTAATGCGTCACAGGGCCTTGGTTGTATTTTTAATTTATACCCCACCATAACGCGTTAGAGGAGGTCAGCCACTCCAACACACAGGCATCCGATGATGGGCCACTGGTTACTAACTTTGCAACTGCGGCGGCACAATTCACGCCATATGGTTGCCTCTATACACAGATATAGTTCGGTGTTCAAGAACACACCGATGCGCTAACCAAGCTCAGGTGCTTACCAATGAAGCCGTTCAGCCTTTAAAAAGAGTTTCAAGATTGGCCGCAGCACTTCAAACCCCATGTCTCAGTACGCCACGATGCAGACACTTGTCCTGTACGACACCCTCTCCAACCTACCAGGCAATAACTTTTCACCCAACCCCGCAAAGCCGAGGTCAGTAATTCAGGTTCTGTATGTCACACTTTGATATCTGACCAGCCTACTGCGCCCCAGGTTCGTTTTGAACTACAAGGGTCTTCCATTCGTGACCGTCTGGGTCGAATACTCAGACATCTCGATCGCTATGAAGGCCATCGGTGCAAAGTCAAACAAACGCTCAGACGGCTCGGAATTTTGCACCGTTCCCGTCCTCAACGACCCCAACACCGGCGCCCTCATCAGTGACTCCCTCGAAATCGCCTCCTACCTCGAGAAGACATATCCTGAGAAAGCCATTTTCCCCAACAACTCAGAATCCTCGATACGCGAGTTCAACTCCGCCCATACCAGACTCATTCTACCTGCTGCAAAGTCTCTCTTTGCGCGTTCCGCAGAAATATTGGGTCCCGCCAGTGCTAAGTTCTTCATCAAAGTTCGTTCGATAGACGTCCCGCTGCCTTGGGATGCGACTTACGATGAAGACTGGGCCCTACTAGAGAAGGGGTACAATACTGCTTACGAATGGTACCAGAAGACAGACGGGAAGTGGTACATGGGCGATACTTTTTCGTATGCAGACATCATTGTAGCTTGTTATTTGCTGTGGTTCAAACGAGTTTTGAAGGAGGATGAGTGGGTCAGGATCAGTTCTTGGAATGGAGGGAAATGGGCCCAAGTTCTCGCAGATGTCGAGAAGGAGTGCGGATTAGCGTAGGAGACTGCGTGTACTATAGCATTGATTTCGGAGACATTGATAAGTTCCTTCAACAGGTCAACTCAGGCCACCGTCGTAATCACGAAGTGTGCACCACATGTCTGGCTTAGGTCAATGTTGTGTGGGCCTGGACCCCCTTGAGCCTGAGCTGATGTACGTAAACGATAAACGATCTTTTATTGGCTGACTACGTAGTTAAGACTGTCGTCCCTTACATAACAGTTACGCCAAAAGGCAGTGATAATCAAAGCGTGCTTTGATTATCGCGGTGGTGATTATGGGAACTCATGTAAGCAACGAGCTTACAGCTGACTAACTTACTAACATAGATACCTCCCTTGTGTGTAGTGGGCTGCTGGGAGCTGATCAATTATAACCTCTGGCGGGCGCTTGACACTCGTACGTGAACCTCTTCTCGATGACTCAACGTCCTAGGCCTCTTAGTACGCATCAAGGATCAATACCAACACTATACTGTACCTCTATGTGTGAAGGTAACCGTAATGCGCCTTGGTCACATTTCTGAATCATACCCCACCATAACGCGCGTCGCGTTAGAGGAGGTCAGCCACTCCGACACAGCTTCCGATGACACCACTGGTTGCTAACTTTCCAACTGCGGCGGTGCATCGCCCATGATCCATGCTGCATGGAGGTATAGTTCCGATGTTCAAGCATGCTAACCAAGCTCAGATGCTTACCAATGATGCCGCTCAGCCTTTAAAAAGAGTTCTCAAGATTGGCCGTAGCACTTCAAACCCAACGTCTTAGTACACCATGACCCAGACACTTGTCCTGTACGACATCCTCTCCAACCTACCAGGCAATAACTGGTCACCCAACCCTGCAAAGCCGAGGTCAGTAATTCATGTCCTGTATGTCACTTTGATATCTGATTAAGGTCTACTATGCCTCAGGCTCGTTTTGAACTACAAGGGTCTTCCGTTCGTGACTGTCTGGGTCGAATACTCAGACATCTCGATCACTATGAAGGCCATCGGTGCAAAGCCAAACAAGCGTTCAGACGGCACGGATGTTTACACCGTCCCGGTCCTCAGCGACCCTAACACCGGTGCCCTCATCAGTGACTCCCTCGAAATCGCCTCCTACCTCGAAAAGACATATCCCGAGAAGGCCGTTTTCCCCAACAACTCAGAATCTTTGATACGCGAGTTCGACTCTGCCCATTTCAGATTCATTATACCTGGTGTAAAGCCTATCTTCGCACGCTCCACGGAAATAATGAGTCCCGCCAGTGCGAAGTTCTTCATCAGAGTTCGTTCGATAGACGTGCCGCTGCCTTGGGATGCGACTTACGGTGAAGACTGGGCCCTACTAGAGAAGGGGTACAATACTGCTTACGAATGGTACCAGAAGACGGATGGAAAGTGGTTCATGGGCGACACTTTTTCGTATGCAGACATCATCGTGGCTTCTTGTTTATTGTGGTACAAACGAATTTTGAAGGAAGATGAGTGGGTCAGGATCAGTTCTTGGAATGGGGGGAAATGGGCCCAACTTCTTGCGGATGTTGAGAAGGAGTGCGAATTGGCGTAGAGGATTGCGCATACTATCACATTTATTTCGGAGACATTTCAAACAATGATAAGTTCCTTCCACAGGTCAACGCAAGCCAGCATCATAGTCACAAAGTGTGCACGCTTAGGATGTTGTGTGAGCCTGGACCCCTAAGCCAGGATTGGACTAACTTCTAGCACGAATAGCTGCCGGCTCGGACCGCTCGGTGTCGATTGTCTTTGCAATCCTTTTGACCTCCAAGTTGCTCTTCCAGCACGCCGTAGAACACTGACGCAAGCTCACATCCTGTTATCACTTCTCATTGATCCTTTTTCGTTCTTTCGTTCCAGTACTATATGGCGACCACCTGTACTTTTCATGAATTGGTTCCCAGGTATCACGACAATACGACAATAAAAACTACTGGAAATAAAACGGTTACGTCGTTCTACCTGGGGGTGACTTCACGATATGCAAACGATATTCACTGTCCTCCTGTTACCCACTGTTCTCTCACCTTGCCCATGCTATTTTCACAGGAACCAATAGAACCTCTCAGTGACGGCAATCGTGCGTTGCCTATTCTCATCGTGGCTGTGAAACAGACATTGACGAAGCTCTCGCTTTTCTTTTCCCGGCGCACATACTGGCTGATGGGCTCGCGTTTGCCTCGAACGTGCGTTCTTCTCTCCACAAAACCTATTTTGCGTTATTAACAGCTCTACATCGTCGATTCGTCGAAGTCCAACTGCTCAAGAACCACTGTATTCGACGAATCACGTTCTATTCTCATACTTACTGCTCCTGTTGGACAGTGAAACGCATACAGATTCATTGGCGACTACTCTCAAAGGCTGCCAAGGTTTCGCTCTCTCGCACAGTTCTCGATTTCAGAACAGATCTCTTTGCTCATTCGTTAACCATATGTCCCGTATCAAAAGCCGTCGAGTTTGAAGAGGAAGCGAAGAGACATTGGTGCAAATGTAGTGTATAAAAGTCTGCCTTTGCAATAAAGCAACGACCGAAGGTCACCGAACACAGATACGGTCAGTCAGGCTGAGTCATCTAGACGTGTACAGCCACAAAGTGCGCATCACATTTTGTAGAATGCGCAAGTGCAGGCCACAAAGAAGGAATGGCTGCCTCCCTTGTGTGTAGTGGGCTGCTGGGAGCGGATCAACTATACCCTCTGGCAGCGCTTGACACCCGTAAGTGAACCTTCTTCTCGATGATTCAATGTCCTAGGCCTCTTACTAGTATGCATCAAGGATCAATACCAACACCATACTCTATGCGTATGACCGTAATGTGCCCAATTGGTTTCTAATTCATACCCCCGTTAGAAGAGGTCAGGCACTCCAACGCAGCATCTGATGACACCACTGGCTGCTAACAAGGCACGAGCTTTTTCCCATTCTCATATGGATCTGGTTCCGCTGGCATGACGGCGCCTTTTTATTCTGGTCCTATGGTTATCAATCTTTCCAACTGCGGCGGCGGTACATCGCCCATCATTCATGCTGCATGGAGGTATAGTTCCGGTGTTCAAGAATGCTAACCAATGAAGCCACTCAGTCTTTAAAAAGATTTCCAAGATCGCTGGCATGACGCTGTCTCTTTATTCTGGTTCTATCGTTATCAATCTTTGCAACTGCGGTGGTACTACATCGCCCATAATCCATGCTGCATGCAGGTATAGTTCCGGTGTTCGAGGATGCTAACCAAGCTCAGATGCTTACCAACGAAGCCGCTCAGCCTTTAAAAAGAGTCTCAATATTGGCCGTAGCACTTCAAACCCCACGTCTTAGTACACCATGACCCAGACACTTGTCCTATATGATATCGTCTCCAACTTACCAGGCATTAGCTGGTCGCCCAACCCTGCAAAGCCGAGGTCAGTAATTTATGTTCTGCATGTTACTTTGATATCTGACCAAAGTCTACTACGTCTCAGGTTCGTTTTGAGCTACAAGGGTCTTCCGTTCGTGACTGTCTGGGTCGAATACAAAGACATCTCGACCGCTATGCAGGCCATCGGTGCAAAGCCAGACAAGCGTTTAGACGGCACGGATGTTTACCCCATCCCGGTCCTCAGCGACCCTAACACCGGTGCCCTCATCACCGACTCCCTCGAAATCACTTCCTACCTCGAGAAGACATATCCCGAGAAGCCTGTTTTTCCTAACAACTCAGAATCCGCGATACGCGAGTTCAACTCTGCCCATTTGGACCAAATCATTACGCCTTCTATCAAGTCCATCTGGGTACGCTCCACGGACATCATGAGTCCCGCCAGTGTGAAGTTCTTCACCAAAGCTCGTTCCATAGACATCGCGCTGCCTTGGGATCAGAGTTACAATGAAGACTGGGCCCTGCTAGAGAAGGGGTACAAGAATACTGTTTACAAATGGTACCAGAAGACAGAGGGGAAGTGGTTCATGGGTGACACTTTTTCGTATGCAGACATCGTCGTCGCTTGTTACTTACTGTGGTTCAAACGAGTTCTGAGGGAAGATGAGTGGGCCAGGATCAGTTCCTGGAATGGAGGGAAATGGGCCCAACTTCTTGCGGATGTTGAGAAGAAATGCAAATTGGCGTAGTAGAAGATTGCGCATATGTAACAGTTGTTTCGGAGACGTTTCAAACAATGATAGTTCGTTCAATAGGTCAACGTTGTAATCACGAAGTGCGCTGGCTTAGGTCAATGTTATGTGGGCCCGGGCCCTTCTATGTTAAGCCCAAGCCAACCTATCGGACTCGTGACAAAATCGACACCAAAATCGCAGCGGGGAAGGTACTCAAGTACTCACGAGTCACGACTTGGAAGAAAAAGAATATTAGAAATAACTGGGCGCAGGCTCGCGATATGTATTTCTTGTATTTGTCGTTTCTTTGTACCCAACACGATATCAAACATTGAATTCATACGTCTTTGATTCCGTCAGTAGCTCGGATGTCCCGGAACTTTACCGCCTTCTCTGCTGCTGTAAATTTTACCTCCTTGCTCGCTCGGCCTCATTTCTCTGCGGTGGTCTGCACAGAGTCTGCCTTGCAAAGTGACAGTACAAGCGACATGATCCTCGTCGAATAATTAGCAGGGGTGGCACGAGCGAGATATTCACCAAAAGCCTCTGGAATTAGAAACCAAGGTAGATGAACTTGTGGAACAGGGTTGCCAATGGGAACAGCGGTGGGTGACCACAAGGAGTCGGCGGTGGAAGAATCATGGTGATCGATGATGGTCACAGTTAAAACAACCAGTGGGGTACCAGAATTGTTCAAGGCCGGACCGCTAGAGGGGAAGAGCACATCGCCCGCCAGCAGAGGAAAGAGTAAAATCAAATGAGGCAATAGTCCATTGCAAATATATGTTGGGTACTAGGGCAGTGGCAGGGAACAGTACTGATCTGAGCCGCCTAAGTAACCACTCAAAGGGAAAAGTTCAAAAGCACAAGCTTACGCACCAACTGCGATAAACCCCCAAAAATTAAGGTATTGCGAAGGTCGCAAGTCATACATTACTTTTCTAATTTTAGGGGTCTTCCGTCTTCGTCGTATCAGATCCTTTGCAGAATCTACAATGGTGGGTTTCGTCGTTAGCGGAGATGTCCGGTTCATACAGTGATTGAGGGTTGCGTAGTAAAATTACAATGTCATGGTGAACAATCGTAAGACTTACATTTCCCATTTCCCATTTCAAACTTGTCCTTAAAATTAAGATGGGCAGAGATGCATAGATGTCCGAGCACCATGCTAAATCTATCTTAAGGCAAGCATCCTAATTGAGACGGGGTGGAGATGTCCGAGAACCATGCTAAATCTATCTTTAGGCAAACAGACGGGCGGAAATATCCGAGACGACCTGTTTTCGAACTGTATGCTTCATCATGTATGCTTCCTCAAGTAATTCTCCACCTGTATGCATACATATATGGGGGCTGGCAATGCTAGGTGAGTATGCATAACTATTTTTCTAGTATCCCTGGCTTTGTATCAAAACTTATGACAGTACAGCCTCCACCACTGAGACAGGACTTAGAGCAGACTCTACGTAGACTGGACCTAGAGTTTGCATGTTCCGGACGTCCTCGGATTAACTTACTAACATAGATAGCAGCGCAAACGGTCAGTCAGGCTGAGTCATCTAGACTACAAAGCGGGCATCACATTTTGTACAATGCGCAAGTGCAGGCCACAAAAAAGGAATGGCTGCCTCCCTTGTGCAGTGGGCTGCTGGGAGCTGATCAACTATAACATCTGGCGGGTGCTTGACACCCGTAAGTGAACCTTCTTCTCGATTATTCAGTGTCCCAGGCCTCTTACTAGCATGCATCAAGGATGATACCAACACCATACTCTATGCGTGCGTGTAACCGTAATGCGCCCAATTGGTTGCATTTCTAATTCATACCCCCGTTAGAGGAGGTCAGGCACTCCAACGCAGCATCTGATGACGCCACTGGCTTCTAACAAGGTACAAGCTTGATCCCAATCCCATATGGATTTGGTTCCGCTGGCACGACGGCGCCTTGTTATTCTGGTTCTATCATTATCAATCTGTCCAACTGCGGCGGTAGTACATCGCCCATAATCCATGCTGCATGCAGGTATAGTTCCGATGTTCAAGCATGCTAACCAAGCTCAGATGCTTACCAATGAAGCCCCTCAGCCTTTAAAAAGAGTCTCAAGATTGGCCGTAGCACTTCAAACCCCACGTCTTAGTACACAATGACGCAGACACTTGTCCTATATGATATCGTCTCCAACTTACCAGGCATTAGCTGGTCGCCCAACCCCGCAAAGCCGAGGTCAGTAATTTATGTTCTGCATGTTACTTTGATATCTGACCAAAGTCTACTACGTCTTAGGTTCGTTTTGAGCTACAAGGGTCTTCCGTTCGTGACTGTCTGGGTCGAATACAAAGACATCTCGACCGCTATGCAGGCCATCGGTGCAAAGCCAGACAAACGTTTAGACGGCACGGATGTTTACCCCATCCCGGTCCTCAGCGACCCTAACACCGGCGCCCTCATCACCGACTCCCTCGAAATCACCTCCTACCTCGAGAAGACATATCCCGAGAAGCCTGTTTTTCCTAACAACTCAGAATCTGCGATACGCGAGTTCAACTCTGCCCATTTGGACCAAATCATTACGCCTTCTATCAAGTCTATCTGGGTGCGCTCCACGGAAATCATGAGTCCCTCCAGTGTGAAGTTCTTCACCAAAGCTCGTTCCATAGACATCGCGCTGCCTTGGGATGAGAGTTACGATGAAGACTGGGCCCTACTAGAGAAGGGGTACAAGAATACTGTTTACAAATGGTACCAGAAGACAGAGGGGAAGTGGTTCATGGGTGACACTTTTTCGTATGCAGACATCGTCGTCGCTTGTTACTTGCTGTGGTTCAAACGAGTTGTGAGGGAAGATGAGTGGGCCAGGATCAGTTCCTGGAATGGAGGGAAATGGGCCCAACTTCTTGCGGATGTTGAAAAGAAGTGCAACTTGGCGTAGAAAGAAGAAGTACAAATTGGCGTAGAAGATTGTGTATACTATAGCAGTTATCTCGAAGACGTTTCAAACAATGATGGGTTCGTTCAATAGGTCAATGTCGTAATCACGAAGTGCGCTGGCTTAAGTCAATGGTATGTGGGCCCGGGCCCTTCTATGTTAAGCCCAAGCCGACCTATCGGACTCGTGAAAAAATAGACACCAAAATCGCAGCGGGGACGGTACTCAAGTACTCACGAGCCACGGCTTGGAAGAAACAGAATTCAACATTAGAAATAACTGGGCGCAAGCTCGTGATATGTATTTCTTGTATTTATCATTTCTTTGTACCCAAAACGATATATTTATACGTCTTTGATTCCGTCAGTAGATCAGACGTCCCGGAACTTTACAGCCTTCTCTGCTGCGGTAAATTTTACCCCCTTGCTCGCTCGCCCTCATTTCTCTGCGGTGGTCTGCACAGAGTCTACCTTGCAAAGTGATAGTGCAAGTGACATGATCCTCGTCGAATGTAAATTAGCAGGGGTGGCACGAGCGAGATCTTCGCCAAAGCCTCTGGAATTAGAAACCAAGGTAGATGAAGTGGAGCAGGGTTGCCAGTGGGAACAGCGGTGGGTGACCACAAGGAGTCTGCGGTGGAAGAATCATGGTGGTCGATGATGGTCACAGTTAAAACAGCCAGTATGATGCTAGAATTGTTCAAAGCCAGACCGCGAGAGGGAAAGAGCACATCGCCAGCAGATGAAAGAGTAAAATCAAGTGGGGCAATAGTCCATTGCAAATGTATGTTGGGTAGGGCAGTGGCAGGGAACAGCACTCATCTGAGCTGCCTAAGTAACCACTCAAATGGAGAAAAGCACAAGCTCACGCACCAACTGCGATAAAACCCCCAAAAATCAACGATTGCGAACGTCGCAAGTCATACATTACTTTTCCAATTTTAGGGGCCTTCCGTCTCCGTCGTATCAGATCCTTTGCAGGATCAGATACACCTACATAATCCACAATGGGGGGTAGGTTCGTCGTTAGCGGAGATGTCCGGTTCCTACAGTGATTAAGGGTTGCACAAAAGTACAATGCCGTGATGAATGATAGTGAGACTCACATTTCCCATTTCTGAATGATGTACGACACATCGCATCAAGACGAAATCCTATCAATAGCACTACGCGTTTAGTCGGCAAAATCACAATGTGTTTCGTCCGTTGATGGCTTCGACCTGATGATAGCTGACAGATCCTTGACATTATTGGCCAGGAAATTGAGAACGTCAATCTAGAAGGAAGGCTGTTGAAGTACGTGCTCTGTCATGCCATCACCAAGATACGTGTACCTCGGCAAAGATTCGATAGAGAGTTTTGCCTAGCGCACCATCGACAATGAACGGCCTACTAGGTATATTTGTCCATCAATCTACCACATACGAGGGTAACGCACCGAAGGAGTCGCTGAGTATCTGTGTGACAACAGAAAGGTAGCAGCTAAGTTCGAATGATGACTCATGAGTCATGTCTTGTGAGTGACTCATCATGGACGAACGACGGCATCGGACGGTCACTCTGGGATTTTGAACATTAGACTGTGACAACACTGCCAGAACACAGTGAATGTCATAGCCTACCTGTCGAGAAACTGCCGGAGTGCCGGAGGTAAAAAAAATGTAGCAGAAAGTTCAAAGCAGCGAGTTTGACAAAAAAGCACCGACTCGAACCTGATCGTCCGGAAGTGAACTAGTGGATAATCACTCCTGCAAGAATTATTCGTGATAAACTTGGAACCAGGGGAACTCCCTGCGGCCTGCCAGGTGGTCCGATTTCACATGTTTGACAAATGATGAAGTGTAGCTACTGGTAGTGGTACATAGCACCACTGGTCGACCATTACAAATTTACTATTATAATAGAGTTCTTGGTGCTGCCAACGAGCATATTCAAATAAAACTCTACAACAATCTACCGGTCCTCACGATTACCGCGGCCCTCGAATCCGACGAGTACCAGCAGCAGTCTCCAACACACACCCAACTACCAGGACTGTACAAGCTTTATTTTGTGACATACTATGCTAGTGGCAGCGTATGCTATGATCACTAACCAGTGCTACTTGCGTTCATGTATGGGTGTCGTACGCGCGCGGTAGTATACATGAGAATAAGGTATCCAAATTGTAACACAAAGAAACCAAAAGAAAAGTAAGCGACAACACCCGAAGGAGAAATAACAATGTCCAACAAATAGCCTTAGGTATCAGAAGAAGAACGTACGGTATGGTTCACAACACAGAACAACGAATGTGACGGAAGTGAAGTGAGGAGGATGGATGCTTCATTGCCGTGGCACGTTTAAACCATTCCGAGACGAATGTTTCTCGCTCGATTGGCGAGCACGGCCAGGAAGCACAGTGACGTGACGCGAGCCGCCATTGGGAACGCCTAGCATAGTACGGTCACCGTTCACAATGATAGGTTCCTTCTCAGCAACTCCGTGCTTTTCGAATTGAGCACGTTTTGCATTGGCCGGACCCAGAGTCTGTGAAGGGAGACGCTTGAAAGCAGGCCGGAATATTTCGCCCTCCGAGCTTCCTGTGCAGTCAGAGGCAACAGATGACTCTCTTGACCCATCTCTTGACCCGCTTTGAGTGCTTGAACTTCCCATGCTGCTCACACGAGGTACAGGCAACGAAATGGACACCCCATTCATTGGTGGTGCAGCTCCCTTCACGGGAGGTAGATGAGACATGAATGCCTGCGAAAGTGACGATGCCGACGAGGAGCTCGAAGGACGGCTGGCGTTCAAATCAAAACCGATATTCAACTGCGAATGTGTGGTATCTGTGCGACGATTAGTGCCACGTGCACCGGAAGAAACACATGCAGGTGGGTTTGCCCGCGTACCTCGCCGTTTTGGGAGGTTGAGGTTGAGCGATGCGTTGCGAGCATTGACAGCAGCTTCATAGCTCCGAAGATCTTCAGGGTTGCCATGGAGCGTCATGCGAGCTCCCTCTCCATTGCCGTTTGCCATACCAGGAAGGGCTCGTTCTACGGTGGGCGTTTTGGAACTTGGAAGAGAGGACACACGAACTCTTCGGCGTGAAGAGGGAGATTGCGGCATGGTGCCCGGCGCTTCTGAGCCGGCGAGTTGAGGTCCACTCATAGGCGTGCGTATGAATGCCTTCCACATGAAGTCGTCACGACCTAAACCAGGTGTGGGCAACGCAGAGAGTGACATGCCGCGATCTCTGAGCTGCTGCTGTGATAGTGCCTTGGGCGGCATCGGAGTAACGTTCGGCGAATGAGGTCGCATATTCATTGCAGCGTTTGAGAAGAAAGGTACACCATCTGTTGAGAGCCCAGCAAGGACATTTGGGTCGTCAATAGACATGAGTCCAAATGCGGAGGAGAACCCGCCTTCACCGACTCGAGAATGTTCATCGGACTGCTGGTCGTGGGATTCAGGTGCAGAGGTAGAGGACATTGAGTCTCTTCGGCGTTGAGGGTCAAGCAGCATTCGCTGTTGAAACTCCTCTGAAACGCCCTGGTACATATCCCCCGCCGATAGGGGGAGATGGACGTTGGACGAAGTAGCGCTAGAAGGCATGGATTGCGAAGCGCTACTGCCGTCACTGTAATCAACGGAGTCTCGGCGAGGCCGGTAGGCTAATCCAATGAAGGGCCCAGTGAACATTTCTGAGCTGAAGTTATCTGAACCGTCCGCACCATATTGATTTTGTGAGAAAGCTTCATCCAAAGACGCGAACTGGGGTTGACTAGTTTGTATAGCAGTCAACCCCGGGTTTGTGCTCTCGCCCCATCCAAGCCAATTGTTGGAAGGTTGATTATGGTCCGTGTAAAGCTCAGGTAGAAGTGCCGGTGAACCTTGAGGATTTGCAAGCATGGGAGCTCCGGCATGACGCATGAGGTCAGCTTGTGCCCGATTTCTTCCAGCAATCTCGGAGTCGGAAGAGAGCGACATGGGAAGATGTACAGCGTTTGCTGACGAAGCATACACATGATTGAAGGAAAATGGGGTTGTGTAAAGCGGATCACCCGAAGAAGTGTCCATACTGGGTACGCTCACTGGGGAAGGACCGAGGATGAAGTCGTCCAGGGATAGCCGTCCATTCCCAAGAGAAGAAGAAAGGGAGGCGGGGCGAGGCACATGATGACCAGGGCCACTTGGTGCGGTTTGACGGTGGAATTTCACATAAGTACATCGACCCTTGCGTTGTGAGCATTTTGCTAGAACAAGAGTAAGAATAGAATCGTGGGTTTTGGGGCACAAACGTACAACAAGGATTGCAACCGTCGCATGGTAAGCTTGATTGGACGCATTGGTCGCATGCTTGCTTCGAAGTAGTTGCTCGAGAGGTTGAAGCAGAGCCTTTGCGACGACCATTGGTGGCGGTTTGTGGCGGTTTTTCATTTGCATGACACTTGTTGACGTGGCGCGATAAAAGATCGCTGAGGTAGATTAAGTTAACCAAGATCAAATAAACCATTTGCTTGGAGACTTTACCTGCGTGCAAATTGGTCTCCACAATACTGACACTTGTAGGGGCGATCACCTGTATCTGTTGAGGAGCGAGCCGATGTTAGTCAGTGAGATGATGATGGTGGAGGTAGATTGTAAGGACAGGGGGTAAAAGCCTCCCGTGGCAAAGTGGAGCGAAATTAGTGCTAGAATGGAAAAAAGTACATACGTGATCGCATGTGACGAGCGACGTGCTGTGGACGAGTGAAAGTAGCCTGACAGACAGGACATTGATGGTCACCACCCATTGGTATAGAATCTAGTGGATGGTAGTGAGAGTTAAAGAAGAAGTTCCAGAGTTCAAGTCGTGGACGAGTGGATGATACTATCCGATGACACAAACCTTGTACACATATTTATCCTTACCAAAACACCTGGATCTATAACCTTCGGCGTCGGCCGTCTATGATGTCATACATACCTTATCGGTTGACACTGCTTTCTTACATAATATCAAATCTTACATATTTCCCCTAACTGTCATTCCATTCATTATACTATAAGGTCTGTTCATCCTACAACTCTGACCTTCTTCCACATCATCCTCTCCATTCTTCATCCTCCGCATCATCTTCCCTAAAAATCAAAATAAAAGTTCGAAAACCTAAACAAATTGCCGTTCCCGTCGTCAAGACAATGCTGGCAATTTAGCGTGTGACGCCATTTGATGTCACCTATTTGCGCGAGATCGTGGCGGAGATCAACCCGCTACAAACACGCACACTGACGTCAGTTCATCAAAACACTCCTACGAAACGTGTCTTTCACCTTGGTGCGGAGACGGGCACGAATACTTCAGCATTCGCCCTATCACCGTAAATTTAATCAGTAATCTCGCTCCGATTCAATCGTCATAGGGCTGGAAACATGAATAGCAGATCGCTGCCGGGCGTCTGGTAATAGGCTCCGGAGAAGGCAGGCGTCATGAAAAGGCATTGCATCGAGCCTGATCACCACCCTCGTTGTCCTGTCCCTGTTCTACGGATCTCCGCGACAGGAACAGTGCGAACAACTTCACACTCATGATGATGATGATGGATAGCAATCTCACGGCCCAACACTGTGGATCGCTTCCTCAGAGTATGCCGGCATTCTTAAGAAGCCAGGGGAGCTGATGCCAAGTTAGCCCTCCCCTTAATTAGAAACTCCCCGTGTCGCGTCATAAGATGTCTTCAAAATCCGAGGCAGCAACAAAATTAAACGATCGATTGGATCGCAATTGCGATCACTGGCCTCAGGTAACACAGACAAAGCCGGTGTCTCCCAGGCGATATCAAGAACAAAAAAGAAGAAAAAAAGGCAATGGGCGCTGAAGAAAAAAATAAAATGATACTCAACGGTGTAGTGTTATCCACTCCAATGTACTTCATATCAACTGGGATATAGTGCTTGTTCGGCAGCTTGTACGTGACGGACTCAACGCCCGCGTTCTCCGCGATGACGCGTTGCCCCATCTTAAACAACGTTGCCTGTCATTAAATAGAACCATCAGAAACGTGCACAACACGAGGATAGAAGTCTATGACGCACTTGCACACTAGCGCTGGAATCCAGGGCAAAAATATCGAGCGTTGCAGTTCTCGCCCGCGTCGCAACATTAACTGCATCCAAAACACCTCCGAGGGCGAAGCTCTCTGGGACAATGAAATCGAGTTTCTTGTCATCAGTGGGGGAGATGAGCGATAAGGGCGCGAATGTATAAGTCAGGTCCACGGAGGTTGACAAAACACGATCGTCCACTTCCTGCAGCGTGGTGTACTCGTCTTGAATGAATCCATGGAACGCAGAACCACCCGACTTGAGCACTGCGATGCGCAGGAATGTGTGAATACAAGCTCAAGAGTGCAAGGATAAGCTCACCCAAGAGATCGGTGATGCCCGAGGTTACTTTAGCTGAGAGCTTGTCCTTGCCAGCAGAGGCATCGACCTGGGGAGAAAGAAAGGAGTGTTTGATAAGCTCTATATATATATGTTTAAGAAAGAGAAGGGTGATAGTGTCTCGACCGAGAGTTGCCGCAGCTCGGCAAGTGACGGCAAGGGAACACTCCACTTCAGCAACTTTTTGATACATAGTTTCGCTCCACCCGCCAAGTCGGAACTCGAGAAGCATAGATGACGTCCAATTAAAATCCGTACCTCGACCTCGACCGTCTGTCTGTCATTCCCGTCTCTAATGAATGAATGCGGGTGCGGATGGTCATTTGCACTCAAGGCAATGCGAGACCAACGCAACTTCTCCAAGGTCACGAATGCACGGTGTATGTGCGCATACTTGGAAACGATGTAAGTTCCGAGATGCAATGCGAACCGTTCTGGGTTGAGGATGTGGGGTGAAATCTTGGCGAGATCTAGTAATCGCCGCAGTGTTCAACTTGGTTAGCTGGTATCTCCTCCATCATTAGTACACGTACAATATGTGATGTTCTTAACTATACGATACGTCATGCGGTGAGCTTTAGCTGGACCATCGTACGGATTTACATACTAGAGTCTGTTGCGACAATAACAGAGTTGTCTGCAACCGTGTAGCTGCATACCCAACTATTAGAGACGGTGGAGTTCACAGTATACTATGGAAATCACTGACCTGGTCTCAATATCACCTTCTAGGAGTACTCTGACATTGTATTCCACGACTTGGTGAAACTCACCATCCCGAACAACACGAAAGACGCGAACGAGGTCTTTTCCGTATCGAGTGTTTGTTAGAACTGATTCAGACATTATCGGCAACGGTGCTAGTAGGCTCGCAGTTTCAGTTGGTCTTCTAACGTTCAAGACCTCGTTCAACTTGTAGAAGTTTATAGATTGGCTGCATTAGGGAGACGGCGTAGCGTAGCGGCATATCACACGCTACTATAATCAGATTGATAAGCGACCAGGCTGAGTAAGCGCTCTGATCTTCCCCTGGACTGTGTCCTGGATATTTCATTTTCAACCACATTCCGCTTTTTTTCCACATTTCAGTCCGTCCTATAAAGCAGCAGTTTTCCTATCGTCGATGGTTTTACTCGATCTTCCATCATATCAATGGTAGTACTCTGCCATCTCCATTTTTTTTACGTCGACGGAGCGAAACCACGGGTACCTGTTCTCGTGCGAACTGTTTATCTTGAGCGTGGGTTACAAGTGCTATCCTTTACTCGCGACCACCCTCAAAATTGAATCACTTCGGTTTTTTTCCCAAGGAACCTTTCCCATTAGTACGACGATAAGGGGACCAGATAAGGCAGATCGTCGTCCAAGAATGCCATGGATCGATGCGCACAAGTTTCCTCCAAACACGATTGTCAAAGGGCACTTGTATGCTCATGAAGCAATCGCGGAGGCGCTCAACTTGAGCATGCTTCCGAATCCCTGAGGTGCAATAAGACGTTGTAAACGCCTCCTCCAAGACACACTAGCCAGCTGCTAGGGTCGTCTTGCCCTTATCGCGAAGCTTCGATTTACTTGGACACTCAATTATATCGGCCAGCTTCACTGTTTGCGGAGGTCCGTTCCAGGCACTCTCCATGGCGTTGCGTAAATAGGACTACTCGTCACCGACTGCGGTGCAGGTCCTTTCTCTTATGACGAGATGATGGAATGGCTCAACCACAAGTTGGATGTGTCTCATCTCAATAACTCGGGACACTAGTCTTTACGCACCAGGACCTGTATTTTGTTGGCGCGATGATGCGGCCTATATGTTGGATAAAATCCGGACCATTCTCAGTCCAAGGGTTGGACCGAGAATAGTCGGGACTTTACCCGTCATAGTTCGAGTATATCGGCATGTGCTCTGATAAGCATTCCAAGTCGTACTTGTAAAGATCTTTGATGACCCGGATCTCACGTTGCCAGTCAAATTAGGTGCTGCAATGTAGTACTTTGTGTTTGGCAGTTTTTAGGTACCATGTAAGCGAAAAGTACTGAATGTAGAATGTATTTTCTTCCAGCCTTGGAAGAGACACTAATTCAATTACACCGATTCAGGTCGTGTACATATGTGCTCCGTGCTCTTATTCGCGATAGGACCCCAGCTGGGACCAATGAAGCAAGGCGACAAATGAGTTGTACTTCCCTGATTGAGACAGTGCCCATTGACTCATCTAACAGACCGCATCCGAGATAGGATTGGTCGCCATTACATCGGATTCGATTTCCTTTGATGGAATTTGACATCAGAAAGTTATATCAGAACCGGATGACCGTTGGATGACCGCATAAGCATGTGCTTTGAAGCAGGCGCTAACTCGTATCAGTTACCAATACATTTAGAGAGTTTGATTAACCAAGAACCTTCAAAATGAAAGTCGGATATCAAACCCACGTGCAGGCTCGTTGCCTCAGGTTTTTCATATTCGAAGTATATAGAATTCAGATGCAGCCCGTGCTACCGTTCGAGGAGTGACTAGTGACGTGGCGCCGCTGAGGTCGGATCGGAGTATATGGAAGCATGATGCACGATATCTATATCACAAGGCTGCTAGTGGCGCTGTGTAGTGGTTGTTGCCGCATGAAGAATGAGCAGGATAATTTGCAAAGGATAGCGTTCAATGTTATAGCAAAGGCACGCGCGCGGCGCATGGTTTCACAGACAAGACTCGTGGGTGGTCCAACTCACCATGCTTCTGGGATGTAATCGTAGTAGAAGCCGGATTCCAAAAATGCATGCTTGAGCTTAAGATTGGCAGGGCCTCCGAGGAAACACGACGGCACAGTGACTCGAGCAAAAGTACCAGACAGGCGTCACCTGCCAACTTTGATCAGTCAAGTAACGGATGATAGACATACGTACAGACATTCGTACACAAGTGAGCTATCACTTCAATAACATTTGCTGGTTTACCGGTCACCAGATAATAGACCAACCGCCCCGTATTAGGGTGCACAGCCAGCGACGCGATAACGAGCGATAGGTTGGATGACGAGGACGAACGGCAGTTGCCGAGGCTCAACCTTGAACCTTTCTTTGCTTATCCGCCTTAACTTGCGGCCAGCCTATATATCATCATTCGATGCCATCCTTAGCTCATTTCATAGATGGTAACATCCTGGATAATCCCTGGGATTTTGCCCTTGTCGAGATGTACGTCTGAGCGCTAGCTCTTGGGACCATTTGGGTAAACATGGGTCATCGTCGGAACAACTTGTTCCTTCCCTGCGTCATTTTATTAATCTTCTCACCTCCGGTGACCTTTTCGGGCCTGAAGTACAGAGAGCTATAGCGGCGATAATCGCCAGCGTCCATGATGGTGTCAACGAGAGGTTTCAGGCATTAGTAGCCACCCAGAATTTCCTCGTTCACCCATAACCGAGTCAAAGTTCGAAGAACTCGAAAAACACCTCGAGAAATTGTGAACAGGTGCGAATATGAGCCGAAGCCTACCACTACTGATCATCATTAGCAATGACAACATCTCCCTCAACGAACACATTTCGGAGATCTGGACTACCCTTGCATCCTACGAGACAACTACACCGCTCTCTGCAGATTTATCATTAATCGCTATCGTTGTCAACTATTCACGCGCACTTTCCTCCACCAGAAGACACGTCATATGCATATGGCCCAAAAGTTGGCTGACTGGACGCCCGCGTCCAATGAACTCTCCGAAACGCGCTGGCTTGACGCTCCTCATTAGTTTTCATTGATACGCATACTTCCTGACAAAGATGTACGCGCAAGCAATGCTCATCAGACAATCAAGTTATCCAATTGGAACTTTCCAGCAAGCCAATGTACTTATGAGCTTAGTTTCTCGATCACCTCATCATGGCGCTAGAATATCATGCGGCCGAGGCCCAGAAAATGTAGAGCGAGGGGGACACACTGAGGTTTAAGAGGGCTACCGGAAAGTTTCAGATTGTTGCGTTGCATTGGGGCGCTGGCGTCGTGAAGACTTTGCTGATAAAGATAACGCTCGCCTCAAAATTCAACAAATTCACTACCGATTCTGATGATGCGTTGCTATTCTATGTTGGTATCCTGCAGGTAAGTTTATTCCCCATTGTGGTGCCGCACTGCTCATTTTTAATGTAGATTTGTATAATTCAGATAAGTCCGACGACTTGGGTCGCGAACCTTACGAGTCTAGCGGCGGTCGTGTCTTGCGGCACTTGAAAGGCATTGTTGCATGGCATGCAGCCATCGCTTGTGATACCGACGTATTCTAAAATCACTCGTTGCGCACTTTCCCTGGGTTTGCTGGAGATCCCTCATGCCAGTTTTGATATCGCCAACTTAGATGACACCTGCGAGGCATATTTCATTGTAACTTCTTCAAAACCCTTGTCCGCTTACAAAGATCTAGTCAAATCAATTATGATATCCCAGCTCCCACAAACCTTCTCTGGCACTGTTCATGCAGGGGCTACATTAATGGGCTTCCTCACGTACTTCTCGTCCTCTTCTAGATGCGTGATTTTTGAGATTTCCCTTCGAGATGATCATGTAGCGGCTCTGGAAAAGCTACTCAAACTGACAAGCCTTATCATCAATGTTTGCATGGCCTGAGATTTACTAAGCAGAGATCATCAGACAACCACTGAAAATATCAGATTTCTTGTCCCGGCCACGTTCTCAAGTGTACGCCATCTTCTTCTCGCCATTCGGGTTGTGTGAGTTTTGAACAGATTGAATTCTGTCCTCTTTTGCACTACTACGTGGTGCCGTACTTGGATGTGTAAAACACAGCAATTAGAAAGACTGTAACAGCATAAATTGGTCGTCAAACCAGGAACCTCAAACCCGGGCTTTGGCTCTCCCAGTGGCTAGTTGATGCCTGCAGCCAGTGAGTGACAGAAGCGGTTCACACACCAAGATTGACAGTATTACCTGGCATCTGCCGTGCGGAGAACGATAGACTCAACGAAGGCACCATCACGACATGGGATATTTGCAATGCGTTCTCGCGACAAAGCAACGATTAGGCAGGTCACTTACATAGTTCCCGCTACCGTTAGGGAGTGGGTCTCGTAAACCATGCATGTCTGGTCCGGAGGGTTCATGTGAGATTTATTAGCACCTAAACGATTATCAGGGTCGCTCTCTCCAAACCTGAAGGTCCGAGGTTTTAATCCTCGCGGATATAGTATATTTCATATGAAGTGAGAAACTACCTGTTCGTGCCCTCGTGCGACGTTATAGCCCCATGGTTGTGAGAGAGCGAGGTGGTGGCTTGAGGCGACAGGGAATAGAACAGCGGCACTTTGAGGCATTTTAGAGATTGGCCGAAACAGGCGACCTTGTAATTCAACCTCTTCTGTTTTGTTGTGACTTACATGTGAGACTGCAATAGGCTCGCTGAGAATTATCCAAGCGGCCGCATCGCACATATGCCGGTTATATGTTAGGTCGACAAACTCCGTGGAATCTTTGACAGAACCCCTGAATCAAGGCAATCATAGCAAGAAACACCCAAGGATGACATTGAGAATGAGTCGCCGGAAAGCTTTTGCGGTGTCTACATCCATGACCGCTTTGCAGGTTCGCGACTTCGGTCAACCAAGGCATAATTCCCATGTCGATGGTGTTCATCTTAGCGATAGTAAGGTACCGGATGGAGGCATATCCAACATGGATAAAACGTCCGTCATGTTCACCGCTCGTTCACACCCATCCCTCGAAAATGACCGGAGTCGGAGGTTCGTGGACAGCTGGTCGAATGACATCGGTATCATGTCGGCAGCTGTGGTGGTATGCGATTGGCTTGAGCAAGCGTATTAGAGATTCGCTTATCATATTTCCAGCACTCACGTTAATTGGATAAGAGGCAAGTAGGCCTAACCGATATTGACGAAATATCATGCGAGTCCTCATGACCACCAGGTTACATGTCATGTATCAGCAATCCAGAAAGTTTTTTATCTTTCTCCTTGTGATCTCCTTAGCTATGTCAATCGTGTGCGCACTTGCTGGCGTAATATCGAGCAGAAACGTTACAAAGGATAAGCGCTTAAGCTCTAAAATGGATGCTTAGGTACATCAGGCTTATCAGACAAATGAGAGTATCTTGTCCTTTGTGGCACCTATCGATGGGATGAACACCATGCCTTGGATACTCTGTGTTGCATCGGACACCCTTGCACTGTGCACTGTGGATTGGTGTAAAACACTTCCGCGAATTGCGACGAATAAACACAGGAGATTCAAGTTTCACGGTGTGAATTTTCTAAAACTCACTTCGCGTACCTTACAAGGTGAGCTTGTAATTTCAATGTATAGCATCATTTGGAACGTCTTGCAATCCACCAAGTTCCCTTGATGCTCCACGGGTGGGCATTACCAATATATTCATTGACACTCGACATCGGTTACGGGGTTCTGACTGGATTATGTCCAAATATATGGAACAGGGAATGAGATATCGAAATGGCTAGGAACGAGGATTCTTTCAATGGCGTGACAGTAAGTGAACACAAATGAAACCTGGACGAAGTTAATGGACCCATCTACTGGAACATCTCTTCCGTAGCGAATGACGTGATCCCACATGCCTCTCAATATATCCTCATGTGGAGATCACAGAATTAGACGTCGTTAGCACAAATCTAGAGTCTAGAGAACCGGACAAGATTATATCTCGTAAGCTTTCGAGAGGAAGAAGCAAGATTCATGCATTACCACATTCGGCCGAAGCCTCATTATGTCGAGGTGGTATGGAATCAATGGAACATTCTTGAAATGCTGCGAAGAACGTGGACTGAAAGGGATACAGCGGTGGTTAAAGAAGGTGGTCTCGTGAGGGTAAGTAAAAATGCACTAACCTCAACAGTCTATTCCTAAAGTGACCGTGAGCTACGGTTATGACGCAATACACCCACGTACCTGTCATCTTGGGGATCAGAAAATAGTCCAGAAGCTGATGCAGCAGCATTCAGGGTTGCTCGAGCTCCACGAGCTGCATAAAGCAGATAGAGCAGATTTCCAATCCTGGTCTACGCTGGTCGACATCTCGAATACGATAGAATTTTTACAAAACCAGACGTGTGGTAGATGAATACCCCACGCCAAGAATGGATATCACACTAACGCTTAGCACGGTGAATCACGAAGCACACCAGCTGAATCACTTGACTAGGAATTGTGAGCTGCGTCGCTTCGATCATTGTGCGCCTACACATGCGGGTCGACAGTCGACAGTTAACTTGCATGGTAGAGGATTAACGGCAGGCATGACGCACGAGATCAAACTCATTGTGCAAATGGACAAGACGTGCTGCCTTGCATTGTTTTCTTTTTCCAGTTTGACCTAACAGTTGTTAGATTGATTCGAAGAATCACTGGCAAGATTATTCTGTAACATTTAAGAACTCTGATCAAATGGAGATCACAGTGCAGAATATTTTTAGGTATATGGAGGTCTGCACAATGAGCACAAAACGTCACATAATGCTTTCTGCATAGTAGTACATACCTGTTCAAGTTGTGTTCGAGTCGTAAAAGCGCGTCGGACATATCCGGGTAAGGGTAGTTCTGCCAAATTTCCCACCCTCTTTATTTCCTCAGCGTTGGCCTCCGTGTCGTGACATTCCTTTCAGTAGTTTACTCAACCTGCTCGGAGACACCCAAAATGCGGTCTACACTCTCCACATCTGCCTTCAGACAGGCTGCTCGTCCCCGCCGTCTACCATCTCAGTATTCACGCTTCGCCAGCTCAAACGCGGAGACAGCGCAGAAGAAAACCCAGGACGCGCTCGGGTCCGCCCAAAAGACAGCGGAAAAGCTTTGGGAGAGCTCGAAAAAGTTCCTTGGTCCCCTCGGTGAGCGTGCTGGAAGCATGCTTGGATGTATGTCATTCCGTGATTTTATTCTTTGCAAACATTGACGTGGCTCTGTTTGTGTTTAGCATACCGTCAACCTGTGATGTATAACTTGTCCGTTGCACGCGAATTGTTGAAGCAGGTTTATGTGGCGGAGCGTTTGCAACCTCCCGCCGACCTTGCAGTAGTGAGAAGCGCATACTCAACATTATGGAGCCGTGCTAGCAGCCAAGCATATTGGCGAGGGATACTCAGTTCCGGGGAGTGGGTCAAGGTTGCCATATACGCTGTGGAAGCATACGGTATCTTCAAGGTTTGTTTTACACTGGCTTATGAATTTACAATTATTAACTGTCGACAGATTGGAGAGATTGTCGGGCGGAGAAGCATCGTCGGATACAACCTTCATTAGACACCACATTATTTATCATCGAAAGCATGTCATAATGCTCTACACCGATTCTATTGCATAGATATTTCACATATCCCAAGATGATGCTGTGTCCCGTCCTTCAAAATCTCTATGACAGATGGTGGGTATGTTGTACCACATTGACAAGTCACGGACGATGATATAGATATCCAAGTCGCGTATAGCAAGGGAATATATAGTATAGACTCTAATCCTCCTTCTTTGCACCAATCTTCTTTTCTGCTTCCGTAATTGATGCTGCGTCTGTTTGAGGACCAGCGGCAGCTGAGAACACAATAGTTCATTGAGTGACATGACAAGTACGTAGGAAAATTCACGTGCCTCCGAACATTGATGCAGCCTTGAACGGTCTCTTGAGATCACCCTCTGCGGGCTTCCCAAGAATGTGAATAGCAACAGGCTTTGCATCGTATAAATTCTTCAAACCCATGAGGGCTTGAATGAAGAGAGGCTGGGTGTACTTCATGTACAGATGGAAGAAGGCCATCATGGCGACACCAAAGTACGCAGCGCGAAGCTATAGAAATTGCAAAATAAACCCAAACTCCTTTTTCTTTCAAAAAAGTGACGTACAAGTTTCGACGTTTCGGACAGGTCATAGTCGCGGACCGTCGTAGTCACAAGTCCTCCAGAGTCGGGCGACTAATACCATGTGAGCCTAACGTGTTCTGCTTGCCATATGAATGGAATGTTACCATGGGATTTTGAGCATCGACTAGTACAAACGCTCAGATATACAACGAGGAAATTTTAAGATACGAACTGACCGTATTTCAAGACGGTCTGGTCATTCTTCTGCCTGACCTGTGTTATCGCACATATTCAGATGCCACGTATGTGTTCTAAAAAATCCTGCTAACCTTGTAGGAAACAAAGAAGTATGCACCCAAGATGATGACTTGACTTGTAACATAACCTATCCGCACATAGTTGAGAACCTCCGGGTCATCGAATGGAATCCGACGGGCAACTGAGAACACGTCACACGAGTTAAACAAAAGTCAGTAGCCTCCGGAACGAGATGGTATATGCTGACCTTGCATCGCACCAAGGGAAATGACGATGTTCTGTATTCCGGAGTTCATTTTGGTGCTGACTAGGTAGTCCTTCGAAAATGAAGTTTGAAGAGTTTGAGAGTCCGGGTAAAGCTTGGAAGGCGGCGTGACAACATTATGTGACATGCCTGCGCTTGTGACAAAGTGTCACATGTCCTGTTTAGATGACGTCAAACTCCGTGTAATAACTGCATAATAAAGCAGACTAGAATTCAAAACTCCATTAAATCTCTCTTCTTGAGCTCTGGTGCATGATGTTTAACGAGGCTACAACCGTATCCCGTGCGACCTCTCTTTCGCGTGCCAGCAAGCACGGCTCAACGGCCTCATCGCGCAACCAATCTCTCATCAAGAAAAACGTTGCTCCACAGGATCTCCGCCCATCTGATATTCTTATCGAGCGATTTGTCTCCTGGAAAGCTATTGTGAAGCAACTCATCAGTTACTTTGAAGGCGTCGCCGACATCGAGAACAACATCGCCAAGGAATACACAAAGCTTGGCGCAGTAATTCAAGTACCTTTCCGCTCAGGAAATCAATTTCTAGGTGAAGGAGGCCTGCAGGTATGAGGATCCTTGCTAGATCCACTGTATTTCTCAGACAATGGATCAGGACGTATATTACGGCATTCGCGACAAAACACGCACCATTGCCGACCAACATGCAAACCTGGGTCGGACCGTCGATAGCTCCATCGTGCAACATCTACAAAAACTGCACGCGGAAATCAAAGCGCACATAAAGGTGCGTACTCTGTCTGAATAGTGTACGTATCACACCCTGAGTTTGGCCAGAATGTTCAAAACGACACTGGTAAATTGGCCACCAGTGTTGCCAAAGAACGCGAGCTATCCGGAAGAATGATCGGTGAACTGGCAACGAGTGTCAGCATTTTCAAGAATACCCCAATGGGCGTGACTAATAAAACTGATCCGTGAGCACTTCAAGGCTTCCTGCGATGAGATGCACTTTTGACGTGTCGCAGTTATGTTGCCAACATAGCAGTCATGAGACAATTGCAAAAACAGGTTCATGAAGAAAATGCTCTTCAGAAATCCATCATAATAATGCAACAGAATTCTGCCCACTTCGAGGAAGGAATTGTACGCGCCATTCAGTCTGCTTGGCAAACTTATGATGAGTGGCGATCTCGAATGACTAATTCGGTGCAAGATACGTGGCATACTATGGGTCGAAACATGGTCTCACTTGCGCCCGACCGGGAGTGGATATCATTTTCAGCCAGGTCTGACCATCTTCTTGATCCCGAGACCCCTCTGCGTAATCCAGAAACCATTCAGTACCCCTCGAAAGAAGACACCTCGGTCATAGCCGTGCATAACGGACATCTTGAACGCAAGAAGAGGTTTACGAGGACCTATCGCGAGGCTTACTATGTCCTCACTCCTGCAGGATTCTTGCACGAGTTTGCGACGTCTGACCCATCTCAGTCAGGCAGTCAAACTCCAGTATTTTCATTATTCCTTCCGGCGTGCACGCTTGGCCCTCCGTCAACGCCGTCTTCGAAGTCTCACAAGTTCCATATCGAAGGTCGCAAAGACGGTACGGGTACCACTAAACATGGCTCTTTCAAATTGCCTATGACGGGTGGCCAACACGCTTGGTCATTCCGTTCTCGTAGTCATGAGGATATGATGGAGTGGTGGAATGATGTCAGAATGTTATGTGCCCGTTATCTTGTCGCCAGCGAGCAAATGGACCGCGGGGGTCCAGTTGAGGCAGCAGTCCGTTCCGCCGGATATATCAGTGACGAAGAGGAGGAGGAGGATGGATCTAGCGTTGAGCAGGACCAGGAAGATGAAGATGAGGATGATCAGTATGAAGATGCTGACGCTGACGCTGTTGTTGATGATGACGAGGAGGATCATAAGACTCCGCCTTCTTACTCCAACCCCGCCAAGAACTCTTTCAATGGTACACATCAGGATGGCTACGCGGTAAGTATCTTGATTTTGGTCGAAGTGTCCGCTAATGATCTTCCTGCTCAGCCAGACAAACAAGCGTCGTCGATGAGCCACGACGACAGCATGGCTTCGTCACGCCCAAGCAGGCGTCAGCAGGAAAAGGCACCCGAAGGACGACCTCCACATGACCGACAATCATCTAATACTGTGGGTCAAGCTCCTAGTGAGCACGACGAACGTGGCTCTATGCCTAAGAACGGCGAAGCTGGTCCCGCACCAGTGGAAAGCAAATTTAATGAAGACACGGAGTGACCGAGCAGCGGCATGACGGCTATCCTCCACAACGTAACTTAATCAGCAACCAATCATAGCTCATCGAACCTGTCTCTTTACTTTATTGTTTTCTGTGTATTGTCAGTTAATTCGTACACGAGATTGTTTGATCTATTTAACACACCTGAAACCCCATTAGAAACTGGTGTACCTATTGATGTTATCATTAATACATTAATGTCCATGGATTGAGATCAGCTGCATACTATAAGATCAGCATTTAATGACAACCATCAGAGACTTTCTTGGGAGTAAGGTTGACGCTACAAGTCCCCCACCGTCCAAGACATAAAGGGGATAAAAATGCCTAGGTTCATCCAAGTCAGGATGATAATATATCACTTTCCGTATGTTTTATATTGTGTCTGCTAAACAACTTTCTCACAAGACTTTGCGCGCAATTTAAATTCCACCACCTGGTACCTGCCGCCCGGTCCCTGAACTATGAAGTTTGGAGTGATCCAATGACAGGCGAGACGAAAAACAGGCCATTTCAGCATGGCGAAATCACTCATTACTGCGATTATTTCAGCATGTACTAGAAGTTAATATGGTGGGCCGATAAGTATCCTTTCGATATATATTATTATATATGCATACCTCATTCCCTCACGATGTTGTGCTCCTCAGCGTCGGGATAGCACTAGTGGCAACTAAATCTCACAGATTATTCGACATGTGCTAAGTCCTAGCGCCGACGAGTAGAAACAGTGAGTTTTGCATGCTTTTTATGTACTGAGCTGCTTTTCATTTCGGGTTAGTTGTCTACCTCCTTATTTAGAACACTCTCACCGATACCAGCTTATTGTCAATACATTGACTTGATTTCAGGTCACGGGTCCCCTTCAAGTGATTCTTATTGTTTTTGTGCTGATAGGCTGAGAGATGCTTCGATTACCTAAGCTTCAGAGGCTTGCAGAAGACAATTGAACCGGAACTTCGCTACACGCTTCCGGTAAACTTTGTGCCTACACGCAAACTTTGATCTGCCTTGGCGATGGACCGTTGCGAACGTATAAAATGTCGTGATTATTTATTATTTTTGCCCTAGGTTTATTCACCCGTGTTCGACCTTCAGAGCAATTGCGCCGGTACTGTTTGACTCTGTTCAAAAGCCATTCTGCGTTCATGGACGCCTTCACTACTATCACTGCATTTTTTACGACTTCTCAGTTTGAGGAGTCATCACCTATTACCTCGGTGCCTACGGATGAGGAATCCAGTAGCAGCAGCGGAGGCTCATACTGTGTGGTAGCTTAAGCGCATCCCTGTCATCATAACACTATGTAACATATAGGTAACATGTTATTGAGTTCCGGTATGTCTCCCTATAAAATCATCGCGCTGATCACGGTCCTCATTCCACATCGACAGACTCTACGAATGATTCATTCTCATGAACAATGTCATTTTTATCCTCAATATCACCACAAGCACTCTCGTCAGCAACATTATGCCTCAAAAATTTTGTTCCGCGGATGTACACATACCATGACATTTGTACTCTGCATGCAACCATCGCACAGCATCTCTTCGTTCATATAATTATTTTTCTTTTCGTTCTTGTTTCGTCGCATACCTTCATTCATTCATATCTCCAGCAACTTTTTTCGGGGAGAGAACACTTATTTTCGTTGGAGTATATATATAGATTGTTGCAAATTATTGTGACGTCGAATCGATTGCTCTCCTGAACAATAGACACCAACCATTCCTGTTGATCTTGGCGCGGCGAGCGGATCCTTCTGTCAGAGGCACCGCAAGCTAGTGGTAAGCAGGTGCAGGAGCCAAAACGGCATTGCGAGGATGCCAGCCTACACGGTCACCTCGTCTGTGTGAAGTATACCTTCAGGTTGGCAAAGTTATCGCGGATACTGTGTTCGAGCACCATGTTAGTATCTGCTTCCATAATCCAACTTGTGGGTCATAATTAATGCGAACCGCGGAGAGATTCTTACTGGGTCGATGAAAATACCGACGGGCCGTTTCAGAATGCGCGCTCCATTCAAGGTCACCGAATTCTGATCGACACTGGCAAGTATGCGTGCTCCATCAGAGACCTGGAACCACGCATCCATAACCGCATCGTCTATTAGCCTGTTCGGAGTTAACGCCAAAAGCCACTTTTATACTAGTAGGATGTACATCACTCCTAAATCTGCTACGCCGTTCCGGAATAGCACTTACAACGCTGTCATAGGTGTCGTCAATAGTCGGCGTGGCTTGACCAGAAATCGCATTAATATCTGACCATGCCAGATGTCAGCCTATAAGTTCTAACTTACATGGCCATAGGAGAAACTAAACCTTAACTTGCTCACGGGTCTCTGGACACACGCAAATAGCACAAGCGGTATAACGCTCGGAGGCTTTTCCACCGGTTTTGAGAGCGTCCCTTAGCATCAAGTCCTAGAACCCTAGTTGGATCCACGTCGTGCACGCTTGATGGAGCTTTGATCCACTCGTCCTACTTCGTGGCTAACTGCTCTATTTTCTGTCAAGCCTGCTCCGCACAAGTCACAGAGGATGCCCCAGCGTTTTGCATGGCCATATGCACGTTCTCGCTGAAGTCAATGACAGTCGTGTCCGATGATGGTCTTGCGGAAGTTGCTTGTGTCACTCGCGTTTCGTAAATAAGACACGTTAAAATAATGGTGTCGAATATAAGAGCAAATTTAGAGGGAGAGTCCATGGAATTTGCTCGATGATAGACACTAGCTGGTTTCTCCAAGCTTGCCGATTTGAACCAAGTAATGACGATATGAGGTCTTGAACGCTTGAGCTGTCATGTCGGATTCGGAAGGAACGCCGCATCGGTAACTACCGGATGGCTCCTGGTCGACGTCACTGACCTACTCCAAATCATCGTTATCTCTGCAGTTCCGACCGAAAGGCTCAATCCTCTAATGCCACGTGTTTGATGGTGGCGGTCAACCTTAGGAACCTGAGGAGTAGAAACACTGTTCAGTGTCTTCAATGCGTTCTTTAAAATCATCTTTTGCACTATATTATCCTGATACAAGCAGGTTCCGTTTTTGCAAAAGAAATAGGTCAAAATCTAAGCCAGCGCCTGATTCATCACCAGAATTACTTGGCCGAATTATTAATATGCTTCGAGGCTGTTATCAACTCTCGGTGGCTTTCCAACGAACTTCCGACTCACTAGGCTATCAGTTTGTTTGAATGGTTAAAATCCGTCACTATCGTCGAGAGTTGGTGAACCGCCCGGCGTCAGAAATTACAATGACTCATATTTGTAGGCTTCGTGCCAGCCATCACTGCTAATTTTAACCTGACCACAGGTTTGAAAACGTGCGACTGTGAATTAGTACCGTACGTGACACCAAAATCACATTTTCATCATCTGGAGATGTACTAATGCATAAACAGTTAGCTCGGAAGAATGCGGAACACGACATTGGTATGAGCACTGCCAGCACTCTCTCCGTATACTTCATTCCGCCTTGATGCGTTAGTAGCCATTGATCATCTATAAAAGCACGACGTGGAGAGCTAATGAAGTATTCACCGGTTTTACTAGTCTTGAGAAGTCTCTTAAAATGACCAGCAAAAAACCCACCGATGCCACCACTTTCTTTGGTATCCCTTTCACGCTGATGTCAACGTCCTCACTGACTCGACCAATCAGTCGATTTCATGATGGGAGGTACTGCAGCTGCTATATCGAAGACTGCAGCCGCTCCCATTGAACGCGTCAAACTTCTTATACAGAACCAGGGAGCTATGATTGCTTCCGGAAGGCTCGACCGTCCCTACAAGGGTATCGCTGACTGCTTCAAGCGGACGGTCTCGGAAGAAGGGGCTATCAGCCGTGCGTTGTGGACTTCATAGTATGACTGTTCATGATCTTCATTCTCAAACGGGAACAGTGTGGAGGGGCAATGGGACAAATGTGCTGAGATACTTCCCCACCCAGGCCCTGAATTTTGCATTTAAGGACACCTTCAAACAAATGTTTGGTTTCAAAAAATCAGAACAGTTCGGTTTATGGGTTCTTGGTATGTAAAAGGTTCCTTTGAGTCTTCGAATAAATGACTGAAACGAGTTGTCAGGAAACATTGCCAGTGGAGCAGCTGCTGGAGCATCTTCCTCTGTATTTGTGTATTCCCTTGACTAGTACGTCCATGACGTTGCGGAATACAGATAGACATGTACATTATAATGATGCAGCGCCCGCACACGATTATCTGCCGACGGCAAGAGTTCCGCTAAAGGAGGCCAACGCCAATTTTCTGGTTTGATCGATGTATACAGGCAGACCCTCCGTGCCGACGGGGTCGTTGGCTTGTACAGAGGATTTGTGCCCAGCGTGGTTGGCATCTGTGTGTACCGAGGCCTCTAGTGCGTTTACAATTCTTGCTGCGGCATAAATATTTAATGACACTTTGAACAGCTTTGGAGGGTACGACACAATTAGAGACACGTTGCTAGTAGGGAATTTGCGTGGTAACTTTGCTGCATCTTTTGCCGTGGGCTGGATGTGCACGACAGTGAGTCGACAAGTATATGGCTAAGCTGGCCTTGAACATAAGTCTCTAGGGAGCGGCATTGGCTGCATACCCACTTGACACCATCAGGAGACGGATGATGATGACGTCCGGGGAAAAGGTAGACCATCTTCCTCATATACTGAGCACGTCTCGACCTATCAATGGGTGTAGGTACAATACAGGTCCTTTATTGAGGCCGGAAGGCATATCGTAGCCAAAGAGGGTGTAAGGTCATTGTTCGGTAGGTCAAGTGCGCTGAAGCAATATAGTTAACGATCTGACACGCACGATGGAAGCTGGGGCAGGCGCAAATGTCCTTCGTGGTGTGGCCGGCGCGGGTGTGCTATCTTTGTACGACAAGTATGGCTATCCTACATTTACTTGCTATCTCTAACTCCAAATGCTTCTGCAGATTCCAGGAACTCGCTTGGGGAAAGGTATACCAAGCTGGATCTGGTTGACAGTGTATCGGAGGACGTGCGATGCAGGAGAAATATCGCGGAGCAGTTATCGTAGTTGAGAAGACGCTTATCAGGCGCCCATGTCTTCGACCTTAGAGAGTAATTTATAACTCGATTGTTTCCTTTGCCTTGAACTTCCGACCCGCACGATCTGCAGATCGAAAACAGAATTGATTGCCATACAAGTCAAAAGCGATATGCGGAGCATCCAGGACAGTTCCTGAATATTGACCACTCAACGCGGAACTGACTGCTTCAACTGGCTCGAATTGCGTTTGAAGCAATGTGGAGTATAGGGGAACTGCCAGCGTGAAAATTGAGTTCTGTTTTGGGATCACTGAATCTTTGCGTTACAATTATACTGAAAGCAATAAATGGGAGTACTTATTCACGTTTGAGTTGATCTTTGCGAGTGATTACTTTGAAAGCATTCTCAGTTTCGTGAATCACGATACCAGACAAGCCGACTAAACAAGGATTCTTGCTCTGACGAACTGAGAAGTGAATAGAACATGTAAGCATATGAGTGAATAACGACTGAACTTGAATACCTGTTAATAGAGAACCGTGGAAGTCGGCCTTTACCAGCTTTGGGTGCATTGATGATGCGTTCGGCATTGCTTCGGCAACTGGAACGGAAGATGAAGGTGGAAGCCCTAAAAGTTCAGACATGTATCCCATCCACAGCTGATGGAGTGGGAGGAATAGATCAAATCTGCAGATAGATAGTCAGCAGACAAGTGCATAGCACTCGAATCCTGATAATCACTTTTGTGCCCCATTCTCAAGCTTCCAGAGGCCTTTTGCGTCTGTGGGTCTCCGTCCTAGCGCAACTATTTTTCTCTTCTTCTTTTCCGATTTCCTTCTTCCTTTCTTTGCGTCGTGTTCTTTCAGTACGTTGCTCGCGCGAGCAGGGTTTTCCAGAACGATGTGCCTATTCTTAACACGACTCGTGTATATTCCTTGTGGATCTCCTGATTGTGTGAGCGAGGCCTGGATATACGTGGGAGTGAAGGGTGCATCGGTGCTAAGCTTCACTCGCTGATTCTGAAATTAAACATTTTAGGTCAATCCGACACAGCCTCGGAGTGAGAGATGAAAGCACCGTTCTGAGAGCCAGCGGTTTGTATGGATCAACTTGGGTTAACGTGGACATGTTTGTGGACACAGACACCTGGCAGTGAAAACTTAGACTTATCAGTGAGTCACTACGTGGAGGGTGATTAGCTTGAGGTTAAATTAAGAACTGTGGAAAGTTGCAGGCGCGACAACTCATGGTACGCAGCTGACTCGTCGAAATCCTACTCACCGCTGGCCGCAACGGAGCAAATCATTTAATCGCACTCACGTGACATTTAGTTATCATATTTTTGTAAGTATTTAACAAAGTAATAATATCGATACCAAACTGATGACCAACATGCCCACTACCGTGACAGGGCCATCATCCAAACCATCATACCAGCCATGCAGGAGCTTCTAAACGGGAACCAATATCCAACGGAGTAAAGCTTCAAGTTATTGTGAGTAATCAGCTCTCCTCGTTGAAGTACGAGGCGTGGACCAGAGAAAAACTCACAATGCAAATGTCAAACTACCATGATGGCCGGAAAGGGGGCGAAAGTTCTCAGCGATCACTCCCGCCAACTTTGCGTGTTACCGGTCGCTGAACAAGTGCGGCACATCCGACATGCACAGTAAGTTGACCCCAGCCTCCTCCAACTCCGCCTCTATTTCCGACTCCACATCACGGGCGATTGTAACCATGCCACCGTTCCATACTTCAATGCGATCGTAGGTTGCGTGTGCTTCCTTGATCAAGATAACCGTGTTTCCTCTACCCAAGGCTGCGCTGCAAGTAGCGCGCACACAGTAATCGCTTTGCATGCCGACGACTATGAGTTCAGCGTCGCGTGGTATAAATTCTGCGAGTCTTGTTCCAGCAAATGCGTTATTTTTCAACTTGTCGATAACGAACTCGTGCTCAAGTGTTGGAAAAACGAGCTGCCAGCCGGGGGAGTTCGGTGTGTCTGGATCACCTGACTCTCCGGAGTTGCGGATATGAATGATGCGAGGTGGCTGCTTTGCTGAGCGAGCACGGTCGAGGATATGTTCAATATTCCGATAAACAGTCTCAGAAGAGGGGATGCCGCCTTCTTTTGGGCTGCTGAGCATACAAACTTGCACGTCCAGGAGTAAGAGGACGCGGCAAGTGAGGCTTGGTGGACTTTGATGACTCGGATGCAGGCTGTGGCGATTGTCAATGGGATGACGGGTCATGACATGCAATTGAGAACGAGAAAGTCACGGACATCCCAAGATAATCCAATGCTTTATATAGACACCGACCGCAGCCGGGGTGAAAGCCTTTAGGCCTTGAGGCGACAGGGCTGGGATGAATTCGCAGGGGTAATGGTTTGGTAATGGTTATCGCATATTTAGCTCTATTTATCAATCAGGAATTATTGATCGCGTGACGTCACGCGATCACCATAATTACATAATACACAAGCAAATCATCCCTCCAATATTGACTGAAAACTCTGAACCCCAGCTGGTATTTTCAGCAAAATTATACGACATTTTCTGCGTGTTTAATTGGTTTTTATATACAGTTGCATCAGAGTCCGAAGCCTCTTTGATGGCGAATGCCTCGAGGAAGGGGGATGCTTAATTACGTCAACATGGCTCCACTTTACCAACTTGGTAGGTCATCATTACTCCACCAATTGCAGAGGGACTGAGTACCGTAATTGAATGATCTCACAGCTGAGCCCCACGCAGACCTGCGAAACCAACGGAGGATGACTGGAGTATCGATATTTTCATTTCTCCGTTCCGTGATCTTTGTTATCCCAAGCCAAAGATTGTGACACTTTCATCCTTTCAAGCCGGAACTCTTGTAAACATTAATGATACGAAACGTGCGACCTTACCGCGAGGTTACATGGCCTAAAGGATGAAATGCCTTCGCAAGGTCCCAGTAGCCAATTGTCCATCGATCCCAGATGCATGCTTGCAGCATCAAATGATCTGAAATGGTGAATTGTTTGAGGGAACCCGTTCAGGAACAAAAATATTTCAGGCAAGGCATAAGCACATTGGTTAGAATGAGGTGATTAAGCGCAATGGCCGGCAATGTGCGGGAGGCGCTGTTCGTGATAACTTGTGTTCGTAGTCTCCGACGCGCAGGGATCGTTTACAGAACTGTTCACCGAATAAGCGACCTTCTCTTGGCACTGCACTCCTCTTGTGAGAATAATCATCCAAGTATGAAGCTAACTCACATGTCTGACGTGCTTGTTGATTCGAATTCGATGTATGCGCATGGTTTGCAAAGTTCAAACTCTCTTCAAATCAAATTAATGCCATTTCTATCGCATGACAGCAACACGGTATTGAGAAGGGTTAAATTTTTATCAATAGTACACACCAGCCACATAATCAAGTCGAGAAAACCGCTTCGAACTCCCCCGAGTCCTTCATCTCCTTCACTACATCCAATCCTCCCACAAATTCGCCTTGTACTATGAATTGTGGGAAGGTGGGCCAATCGTTCAGTCTCTTGAGACCTATCCAGGAATCAAAAATCAATTGAATTGATATATTTCAAAACCTGCTTAAACTCACCTTGCCGCACATTCTCGTCGCTGAGAATGTCAAAGTGAGTGAATGTAACATCTTTCTCCCTCAACAACGCTACGGCACTCCTAGAAAAACCACACCGAGGCGCATTTGGCTCCCCTTTCATGAACAAAACAACTGCGCTTTGATTCATGATACTATGCATACGAGCCTCTAATTGTTCGTCTGTCTCAGAAGACGGAGGGGAAGGAGGATGAGAGGTCGTTGAAGAGGTGTTGCTTTCCAAGTGCTTTATGATCGCTTCCTTAAGCTGGGCCGCATCTCCGCCTTCAATCCGGGCAAGTAAAGCATGGCCCTTTGACGTTCACTTAGTCACACATTCAGGGAAAAGATTTTTAGAATACTGACCTGAATGACCAAGCATGTCGGAACGGAGTTGATGTCAAAGGAGTCTGATATATCCGCCTGCTCTTCTGCCTCTACCTGGTGTTATGTTGTCAATCTCATGGTGCCTGATAGGGTCCCGAGTAGTACTTGCCCTAAGTGCGAGTAGTGTTGGATATGCCTTTGCTAACCCTTCCACAACTTGGTTCATTTGTACACATGGCTCGGCCCAGGACGTCCAGAAGTAGATTAGTGATATACGTTTGAGATCCTTTGAGAGCAACTCTTGAAATTGTGGGGTGCTAGGGATATCAACGAGATTCTCAAGTGTGGACATTGATTCGCTGATCAAGTGAGACTGGTGAATCGATGGTTGCTCCGTTAGGCGTGAAAGCGAGGATGAGCTAACTATCGATTGAGACGACTGCCACTGCCACTAGTGCTGTGAGATCAAATTATGACTGATCATCTGAAATGGCGTTATCGGAGCTAACTCGGAAAGTGCCAGCATTCAAGGCTACACAAGGGCACTCTCAGAGGAGACACTCATCGAAGCGACAATGCTAAGACGCAATCAAGCGTCATGTATATACGAGGATATTATGTAGCTGAGTACGAGTACAAGAATATAGGCATTCGACAGTAATTTCCTAGAAAGCTGATTCATAACACAGATGCACAACCGTAAATAAGAAAGAAAGCCGACTTCCTTCTCATTACTTGGTGAGAGTACCTGTGATTGCTCAGTGAGCATCCAACCAATCGCCAACACGTTCAATTAGTTCGGCCTTTTTTCCTGACACCGGCTGGCTCTTGCTCTTGAGAAAGTCCTAGGAGGAAATGAGTGGGATGAAGCTTGGTCAGGGACAGCCAGATGATACCTTAAGTTGATCCACACGGAGCTGCAGGGATGTTGAGATCAGGCACTCAGTCGGATCATTATTCAAAGTACCCACCTTGGCCAAGGCACCAACCTCGTGTTTACTGCGGATTTCCGCCTCGTCAACTGATACGTCCTGCATGATCTGATCAGCAGACAGTCTCGTCACACTAACAGGTGGGCGTACAGCCTTTCTTTTGGATCCTGTGGTTACGGGTACGATATTCGCGGATTCGTCCGTCAAAAGAACCCTCTTCCACTCCTTCATAAGATTCCCAGCACGCTGGTGCAAATTTAGATCGGACAACGCCAACCTGTGAATATAATCCACGCACCTTGTGAATCCCATCATATTTCGGACGTGTAAGATCCTCAAAGGCTTCTGGATCAAATTCTTCACGGAAGGCACTTGCTTGTAGCTGGGCATTATGATATGCAAGGGCTGCAAGCACAGGTCAAGTTCATTATAGCGAATAACTCGGAAGGAACTCTGACTGACCAGGATTAGGATAGGAGTCCGGTGGATATGCTCCGTCCTTGACACATAGTTTGTCAATCCAAATTCGTGCGGCATCCTTTAGCTCATCCGGCGCTATATGCGGTAATTTAGCTGTAGGCTAGAATCCAACATATCTTGGCATACCTCGGAACGCTTGATCCAGCGGTGCTGCTCTAATATCATCGGCAAATGGCAAAGGGATAATATGAAACCCTGCAGGCTCGTTCCATCCCCCTTCTTCGCCACTTTCTGCCTAGTTAGGCAAAGGCACAATCGGCGCACAATAAAAAATAAAAAATACGAAGCTTACTTGCGGAAGCATTGCGCAGAAAACCGGGGCAGCGTTACGTCTTGTAAGTGCCAGGACAAGACCGATCTTCTTCTTCTCTATCATTTTCTTCAGGAGAGCGGCGAATGTGCGCTTGCTTCCTGAGTATTTCTGTACTACCTAGTCATTTCGGGACAAGCTAAACAAGAAGCAAACGTACTAGTTCGTCGGGGTAGATGAATACAGAGTGTTTAACGTTGTCCTCGAAGGCCAGTTCTGTACGATCCTTGAAGCCAAGTAGCTTAATGCCTGATGGTTTTATGTGAGAAACAACCTCCAGGCTGATATTCACAACACACCTGGTTCAAGGTCCAGCGTGCGGAAAGACTTGATCTCATCTGCGGTATAAAAGGGCTATGCGAGGTTGGCAGTCAAACAAGAGAACCGATAACACATACTCTTTTCCCCGATGGAACAGCTCTACAAACAGTATCAACACCTTCACCTTCGTCGTCGCTGACATCCTCAACAGTGGCACCGCCGAGAGCCATCCCATAGAGCATCTCGGTTTTGTCCACTTCCGCTTGTTGATCCTATCATGAGAATGGTCAGCACCAGCACAGGGTACCAAATTAACGCAGCACCTCGTCGACATACACCGTACGGCTATTGGCTACTTCCATGCGATCGCCCAGGTCAACGAAGTACTTGTAAGTGCCTTTCCTCTGTTCTGTAACCAGCCCGTAACTGTAGAAAAGTATGTTAGAATCTAGTAAGCTGACAAAAGAATCACTAACCCCTTGATGCTAATCACGAATCCGTCCGCTAGTTGGAAAGGGATGCTGAACATGGCACGTTTCGGCACCTCATGAAAACGCATTTGAGACAGAAGATCATCGATACGCGTGATGGATATAGATTCAGGAAGGACGCCAGTATCTTCGTCTTCGTCATTCAATACGTTTGGCAACAGGACGGACTTTGGAGACCATTAGCCAACTATGAGAGAACCAGTAAAGATGCTTCTTACCGAGTAAAATTTGGACGGCTCGAATGGCTTTTCAGGAGTAGCGATGAAGAACGGTTCAATTTGAACCCCTGATTGTGTCAAATCCTTATAATTCGAATTAGCTATCCGTGCACTTGCACAGAGATAGACATACTAGAAGGGTGGTTCGAGCCGAAGTGACAAGCTGTTTGCTTCCTGGGTGAGGATTGTCATCGTCTGTGATCAGAAAAACGCGTTTTGAAGCTGTCTTCGGTGCTCTGAATGAAAAGGGTAAGTTATGTTACGTGTTCATGATACTATGTCATGTTCACCCGTCACGCAAAACCCAGTTGCAGCTCGTGAATACATCACCCATGGGCATTTTCTTCCCTTTCAACGGAGGAAACGTGGATTTGAGTAGATCCGGATCTTCTCGAGCAGCTTGGAGCACATTGTTGAGTTTCAAGCGTTACACGACAGTCAACGCGACAAACCATCTAACAGTTGAATAAGTTCTTGGATGGCTGGTGCACTTATGATCGTAATGGGCTGATAAACGAAAGAGTTCTTCTTGATTTCTGTAGCGTGATTTTTTGTCTCAGAAGAGCGAGTCTTCCATGACCAATTGTGAACAAAGACTCGATGTGGTACAGCGCAAACCTCACTGTATTGAATAGAACAATGCCAACAGAATCATTTGGGCCTACTATGACCTTCTTTTTCTGGATCTGCATGGCTGCTTCAAGGGCAGTGAGCAAGTGAGATGTTTTGACATCTTCGTAATTGGGGTCATCCCGAAGTTCATGCATGGACTCTGAGCAAT